AACAAAAAGATGCTATCACTGTTAGCTATGTGTGTCTGTGTGTTTTATTTTATTTTTGAAGCCTGGCTGGTGCTTGTGGCATTAAGAATGCGCGGAAGTTCGCTCAACAACACACGCCAAAAGGGACGTTGTTCAGCAACAACCAGCAGCCAGCAGAGGCAGAAGCAGCAGCAACAACAGTTGGCAACCAGCCAGACAGTTTGTCTATAAGAAACCAAAGGCAACAACAAGAACAACACACCAAAACAGCAAAGAAATCCTTGCATAAAGCCAATTAAATTAAGAAATCTGATGCAGTCCCAACCATTCTTTTTTTTTTTTGTTTTCAACTTGCAATTGCTGCTGACGCGCTGTTGTTGCTGTTGTCGGCCAGAAACGTGAGTCACACGAGTCCGAGTCAGCGTCAGAGTCAGAGCCTGAGTCCGAGTTAGCAGTCAGCAAGCAATGCCGAATGCAATTGGTATTTTACAACAAACAGCATTCGCGTTCAGCTTATTTAACATAAATCGACTGGCTACTGAAATACACGTTGTCACTGCCCCCTGCCTGCCACACCACCTCGCCCTCTCAATCCCCCTCTGCACTACACCCTACCACATGCGGCTGCCTTATCTGGCAGGACACGGGCAACTGTAAGCCAGCGAGCCAATTTCATTGAGTAAAGTGGCTGCCAAGAGCAAACGACCTTTAGAAAATTACAAAGACAACTCTGCAGACATTGCGTCGTTTGGACAAATCACGAACCAAGCTCGGCAACAACAGCAACAACAACATTAGCAACACCAGTTTAATATAGTCGAGGATGCCAGCCAGCAACTGTCAGCGAACATTTAAACATCGCGGCCTCTACTGCCATTGCTCTGGCAGCTGCCCACTTTTCACACCTCAACAAGTGAGAATTCCAAAGTCCAGCTGATGCGCCCAGCGGACACCCTACAGCAATTGCAAAAGGAAATGCTAAAGCAACCGAAAATTTACAATAATTAAAGAAAATAAGAACAAATATAATCCTCACCACATCCTCCTCACACTCCTTCCACATAGATTGTCTATTCTCCCAACATTAACGCCATCACCTTAATTACAAACCCATCATTACATAACTTTAAACTCATATTAAAATATTTAAAAGCCACAAAGCATTCCACAAAATCTACACCCAATCCCCATACAAATGTATTCCTACTTTTTACCTTAATACCTTTTAAAAAAGTAATTTTAAGCTACCATTATATAAATAAATAAGAGCAAGTATAAACCTTAATGTACGTTTCTGGAATTCGCCTTAATATCAAATGTCCTAATAAATAGAAATTCTGTCTAGCAGAATATCCAGAATGTCCAGAAGCAATAAGTCAGTTTTTACATAACCCCAATTTTTACCACTCTTTCGCCCTAAAATGGATCTGAGTTGGATTTGTTGAAGTTTTTTCATTGATCATGTGCATAAATTATTTTTTAAATACATCGTGCATTATTTAATCAAAATTTTAATTTTTTGGCTCCCCCTTTGGTAATAGCTGCCCACGCCCTTGTTTGGAGATGTCACAAGTGAAAACAATATTAATTGATTTTCCAGATTCAAGGGGAATTATTCATCGAGAATTTGTGTCATCTGAATTTTTTTTTTTTTTTTTTTGATTTGAAGCGTTTGGAGAGAAAAGGTGGCACTTGTTGCACTTTTAAATATTCCTGATTACTTAGTAACTTATCTGATAATACAACAATGTGAAAAAATAGTGTACAAGTATTCATTATAAATAAGACTAATAAGACTCCTAGTTTAAGCTGTATTTCATTTAAGTTATTGTAAATATTAACAGTATATTTAAAAGTTTTATATTTAAAAAAAAATGTTCACATTTGACGTTAACAATATTTATATGATTTATCAAATTAAAGTCTAAAACCAAATAGTATGTAGCGTAAAATTCAAAAAAGGAATAAACCTAATTCTGTTTTTACACGGTAGTTTGGTTCCAGGAAAAGTTGTGTAAAAAAGACAAGATCATTTGTTATTTTGAATCGCGCTAAATGGAATAAAGTCGTGCAACCATATATAAAATGTTTAATTTTCAAACCGTGTTAAATCAAAATTGATTAAAAAAAACGGTGTAAAAACAGAATTAGGTGCCTACCAACCAAATCAGCTCACGAATATGCCCCGGTTTTCTGGGTAGAAAGGGTAGCCTTAAAACGAAGGCGCTACGACACGGCCACAACGAGTGACCCAACTAATAAGGAACGGCCTCAGGTTTGTCTGCCCCATTGATTTGGCAAGTGTGAGGCAACAAAGACTACAACAACAGTAGCAGCAGCAGCAACAACAACAGCAACAACAAAATCAGCTGCAGTGGCTGCCACAACAACAGGAACAACAACAACAGAGCGTGGCATAATAAATAAAAGCACAGTAGCAGTTACTAACATCAAGCTACGCCTTGGGGCCTCAACCGGAGGCTGGACCCTGCTCGGCTCTGGCCTGGCCTGGTGCTCGGTACTTGGAGCGTGGAGTGTGATGTGTGGAGCTTGGAGTTTGGGGCATGGGGCTCTCGGTGCGATTTTCACAAGTTGATATCGCAAACACAAAATGTTAATGAGCAATTTCGAGATGGTGCGAATTGATTTCATTATTTAAACTTTTTTCCATTTTATTTTTTTCAACTTATATCTGTCTTTCTTTTTTTTTTGCGCGATTTGAACACTGTCGCTGTTTTTATTATTTCGTTGGGTAATGAAAGCGAAATAATTTTAATTGGTTGCTTTGCAGAGACGGTGAATGAACAGAGCAAATAAGCAGAAAAGAAAAGATTTCGCTCAAAGCTTTTTATATTTTGGCACGCCAAATTAATTATTTCCTGTCAAATTAATTTTAAAATTCGGAATAAATTAACTCATTTGCCATATGAATATCCAATGTTGTGCTGCGATCGCGAAATTGTCACCTGTCGCACATCAAAACAGTGTTCCGCCGCATAAATTAAGGACAAAGGACACGTTGATTAATTGGCTCACGGGGTCGCAGCGGGCAGGGCATTTGATGATTAAAACATAAATTGCATTTTATGTAAGCAACAGGTATACTCGTAAAAATGCATCGACGGTGCGTCCTTGCCCGTTTCGCAGTTGCCAGGCGACCCTCTTCCCTTCTTATACGATATCACGATACCGATGTAATTTTCAAGATACTTTTTTTTGTAGAAACTGCGGAAACTGAATTCAGAAAACGAAGCCAGGGGTGCTTTGGCGCGCACTAAAATTACACTTAATTAAACAACCAGACATTAGCGTTTTTCATTTAAAATGATGGAGGGATAAAGATGTGGATGTGTCTGCAGGAAAGTAAGCTTCGTTTTTCATTCACCAAAGGGTTGACAAAGGCTCCTTTAGTCGTCGAACTATTAAGGTTAAGGGCAGACATTTTACCATTATCTATAGGTATGTATGTTTATATTATTATTTTTTTTATTCCTTTTTACTCCACTTGCGAGCTTAGCGCTTCTACAAGAACTTTTTCCATCTAACTCTCTATTTTTAGTCGTTTGTCTAGCTGTGTCCCACATGTGGTCTTGTTTCTGGGATAATTCTTGAAGGGTGGACCCTCGCCAGGTTGTCGCCTTAGGTCTGCTTCCTTGGGGGTTTCTCCTGTCTAGCGCCATCCTTACATCGACATCGAAGTGGAGCCGTTTGGATTCATTTGTCTTGTATTAAGTTTCCATAATCATTAAGTTGTCAGTCGACCTGGAGATTGGCCAGATGCGACTATGTTTATATTATTATTTTTTTATTTTGAACAAATTTAAGCAGTCTTGTTAGTTTTCAAAAAAAAACCCATCTTTATAAAAGTATGTTCAAATAGGTGAATAAATCCACTTGTTCAAAAAATGTTGACTCATATCCTCCAATGAGCAAAGATTACTTCAACCGTTCTTCTTCTATTAAGTCCACTAGTTCTATCCAAATCAGACCATATTCTAAATTATCGAACTTTTGAAACAGAAATAACCTAACACAGACCTAGTCCGTTACAATCAACCCAACAACGCAAAGAAATGTCTTTTTAGCGGCATATTTGAAGAAACCAAGGCAAGACTACTGTTTTCAAGTGCAGTCTTCAGAATCAAACAACACTTTGGTTTGGTGATTTTAATTCTTAAACTTTTTGAGAACATAGCGCTCATATATATGGACAGACTGAAAAGGCTGTATTACTCACCTTTTCAACCTTTTACTTTCACTTTTATTATTTTCTACATATTTTCCATCGTAGAGGACTTCTATAAGAATGTAAATCTCTTGTTCACATGGTCGTGCAAATCCCGCTTTAAGTAGGTTTGGCATACTTACCTTTAAAGTGTTACATTCATACTCAATCGTACTCATTTTCCCACTTGGGGTATAAAGTATCATGCACATTAATGAATCAAGTTATTTGTCATACTCATTCTCTAAGTTTATAAAATGTTATTTTCCAATCTTACTATTGAACGCCTTATTTCTCACGCTGGAAAAAATTACTTTAATATCTAAGAATAACTCTTTAAATTTGTGTTCAAATCTAATGCGAGGCTATAGGCTTTGCATTTAAAAAATTAGATCCCATCGTAATTGTAGACTTTTTCATACATTTAAAGATGCAATTCTTGAATTAAGATTAAGCTTCCTTTTTTTAAAAAAATTTACATCATCTCAGATAACACACACAAATGCCTCTGAACAATTTTATCAATATTATATCGATATTATATCGATTAATTATAATTATACTTATGAACTATTTGTTGTGGTGACCCAATTTTGAATGAATCGTAAATGGTGAATTGTTATCTACTTACGAATGCCACGAAATTCGTTGCACGCATTCACACACATCATTTGTATGAATAATTAGTGAATATTTAAACTCTCTGAATAAGTTTCAATATGATCTGTTATGAACACTTTGTTCAATACTTTTGTTAGTAAGTAACTCGAATTATTTCATTACTCGTCCTGTCAACATGTTAAAGGGACTACTTTTTTTTAATTTCCTGGTGCTCAATCTGATCTGTACGTATGCCTCTCTATGTGTTACGAAAGTAATTGTGCGAGTTCCGAGGGAGCACGATATTGGTCTGATATTTGGTTGGTGAACTAATACAGAACGCTCACTGTTGAGATTACATTTATTTCGATATTTATATACTTATACATAGATCTGACCGTAAGCAATAATGTTAATAATACTACGGGCAAACGGGAAACCTTGGAATTTGTTGTGACTTCGGATGGCACTTGCACGCTTAATACCACAAAGGGGGCTCAGTTCAATGCCAGTCGAATATATGGCGGGGATTTTGGTTCAATAGAGCCTGGCAAGACCGAAACTGTATCGCTAATTTGGCCCACTACGGTAAGTACGTGCGCAGAAACGGAAAGAAAACATATGTCTCAATTAGTTATTCTGCTGCAGTCGCTATATAATCGTGTTGGCTTCTGTCCAATCATCATCAGCACTTCCAATGCCAACAACGAAGTGTCCAACACCAAGCAATATTTGTATTTCGATACACGTTTTGAAACCCTGGATCCCAACAGGCGTTCCCTCCGAAAACGTACGTCCGTGCTTTATGTATTTTCAAATCAAAGTGAACTTCTATTAACATATCTGTTAAAATCGCAGATAAGGACTTTGTGGACTGCAGGAACTGGGACAAGGATTATTTTAATAATTGCACGCCCGTCGATTGCGATGAGCGCTATTTTGGTCGGCGTAGTTTCTATAACTATACATCTGAGGAATGTGAACCAGTAACCCCTTGTTCGGACCCTGAAACGGTAAACCAGCATTATTGAATCCCTGCACAAATCATATAAATATGTATGTATATATTTATATAGCTTTACGATCCCTTTGCCAATGAATGCGTCGAAAAGAATTTCATCGTAACTGAAGAAGAAATAGAACAACTTAAAGCGGGAAAATTTGATGACAACTATTTGGAGCTGCGCGGTCCTAGCAATGCTGCATATGTAAGTACAATATGTTTCCCAACGCTCCACTACCTCATCCAATACCGACCACTTTTTACAAATTTTATTTCCGATTTTATTTAACATACAACTGTACATAAATAGGTATGTTAACACATTTTGAAAAGTATGAAACTATTTGTTATTTGCTTAAAGTTCTACTTATAAGTCATAAACGACAGACTGTTAATTGGTTACAATATATATATGTATGTTTACAATATATATATATATTTATATACACCTAAATTCTGTTTTTACACGGTAGATTGGTTCCAGAAACAACCGTGTAAACAAAGACATTGATCATATGCAAAAATAGGTGATTGGTTTTTGCAATTTTTAATTTTCAAACCGTGTTATATCAAAATAGTGTAAAAAAGACCGTGTAAAAACAAAATTAGGTGTATATTTTTTGTATATCTACATATCTGAACAGATAGACTCGTTAATAAGTTATTGCTTGCAACTAAAAGTGCTTTTGGCGCCACCTACCGACTATTGACAAACTATATGAACTTCAGCCAGATGGCGCCTTAATCAAAATACACTGGTGCTGGATTTTGTAAAAGTACAAGCTAAATATACAACGCAAATGTGGGCGCCGTGGCTTAGTTGGTTAAAGCGCCTGTCTAGTAAACAGGAGATCGTGAGTTCGAATCTCGCCGGGGCCTTCCACAGTTATAGCGCAAACGGTCGGTCGTAAAGCGCTTTTTTTTTAAACCTTTATTAATATAATATATATATATTTTTTTTTTAAATTGAAATAATCTTTTGTCAGATGATTATCTGAAATTATTTCTAAATTTGAGTCATTGTTAATTATTACCCTAACCCTCATGTATGTATATAGAGTTTGAATTTTAAAAACATAAAACACATTTTTCCAATGGGGGCCATTTTAGATTATAAACTAAGTTTTATAACAAATTGAAATTACTTGGAGTTGATTTCCTATTTCCAGCATGGCCCTCAGCAGAAAACTCAAGGAAAAAAACCAAAGCCTGCCAAAAAACAACCAAGAAAAAAACAACAAAAAAGCAAAAAACAAACAGCTTCAGCAGGAGCAGAAGCGCGACCCAAAGAATGCAAATTTGCAGGCAAGATGTCCCTCGTGGACTTCAGGAATTGCTTTCAACACTTACAAGAGGAGGCGGCCTGCCCAACAGATGCGCAGAACGTTAAAAAAAGCCGGTCCGCAAGCGAAAGACACAAAAGGCTATCCTTCTTACAGCGATTCTATTACGATTGGTACAGCCCGTTGAGGTCCGAGGACTCTAATGATGACGAGAATGAAGTTGACACTTCAACTGAAAATGCCGAACCAAATTCCACATCAAAATCGTCGGCCTTGTGGACAAAGCTTTCCGATCAAGGTCTCATAATGTGGATTGCTGGGTTTGTGGAATGCATACTCATTGTGAGTTACATTTTTTAGGTACGAAATAAACGACATTTATTACCGAATATTATGTTTCAGATCTCATTGGTCATTATGTTTCAGATTGTGGCCACCATTTGCACATATACCATCATCTGCTTTGGCATTTTTGTCTTTATAGAGCTGCTGGCAAAAACCAAAAGATATAGGGAAACCTCCACCCATGTGGCTAAAAAACTGACACCTCGCGAACCCGATTATCGATATGAAGTCATCACAAAAGAAAGCTTAATGTCGCAAAGATAAATGTAAAAATTCGATATTATAAATAAAAGCCATTAAAATGTTCAAACCTTCTACTGTTAACATGGAATTAGTTATTAATCTGCTGATGTAGCACACTTTATTGTTTATCTGAAAAATCCTAGGCTTTCGTTGTGCTGAGTTATGAAAAACAGAAAACAATCGCGCAGCTAATTAAATCCTGTATGGGTTTTCGTTAGTAATATCATAAAACTGTCATTATGGATGTAACAAATATCATTCCGACCTAAACTTGTATTAGACACCCATCATTTTGTGCAATTTCTTACTTGTTTTAATGAAAGAATCATAATCAGAAGATCCTTGTGAAATTCAACATATTTCTGTGCAAGATACTACAAATATAAATTTGTTGATAGAACAAACATTTTATAAAGTAACCAAGAAATAATTTGAAAAAATGCGTATGTCGAAACATAGTTTAGTGCTTAAACGGATTCAAATCTATAAACATTTCGGGCTGGTTTGACGATTGACGTCACGAGTACAAAAAACATTATTAAGTAAGCAAATAATCGGACAAAGTCACGAGCGCTATAGTATCGTTCATCCCTAGCTCATAAGCGAACTAAGATAACACCTGAACATTGAAATAAACTTTTAACACTAACTGTTCAAAGTTAGTCACTATTATGTGGTTCCCAGACGAAATGCTGGAATTTCGGGACTTTGCTCAGTTAAAAAACTGCAAGTGCGATGACGAAAAGGTCTCGACCACCACATCCAGGGAGCAGGTGAGGAGCAGTCAGTAAGCATGTGCCGCCCCAATAATAAGGCTCAGCATCTATTTGTGTGTCCAGCAAAAAACCGAAAACTCCGTGGAAAAATGCTACGATCGCTTCCAGCAGATGCAATTCCTAAACCCACGTGTGGCGCAACTGAGCCGCATCGAGCATCAGCACTACCTGGATCTCATGCTGCGTCACTTGCCGGTTAACTACGAGTGCCTGGACAGCAGCAGACCCTGGTGTGTCTACTGGATATTGCAGGCAGCGCAGCTTTTGAGCTTTACATTCGATGAACAAACCCTCGACCATGTCGTGGAATTTCTAACCAAGTGGGTCATGAGAAAACGTACGAGCGCTTGCATGGCTTCTATTAATAAATCGCTGTGGCATTTACAGGTGTCGGGCTCCTGCGGGGGGCTTCGGTGGCGGACCTGGTCAATATGCTCATCTGGCGCCGACATACGCAGCCGTCAACAGTCTGTGCATTATTGGGACGCAGAAAGCATATCGTGCCATTGATCGGGACTCGCTGGTGAATTTTTTGTACAGCGTACGTGATTCCGATGGCTCTTTTCGCCTGCACGTTGATGGTGAGACGGATGTGCGTGGTGCCTATTGTGCCATATCTTGTGCTAAGTTGCTGAATGTTCCCGAGCTACACCTCAAAAATCTATTTACTGGCACTGGCGATTGGATTGCGCGCTGCCAGACGTACGAAGGTGGGTTCGGAGGTGCCCCAGACTTAGAGGCACACGGCGGTTACACTTTCTGTGGTATTGCCGGCTTGGCACTGCTCAACGAGGCGCACAAGTGCAATAAGAAGGCGTTGTTGCACTGGACCTTGTCCCGTCAAATGAGCTATGAAGGTGGCTTCCAGGGTCGCACTAATAAACTGGTCGATGGCTGCTACTCGTTCTGGGTAGGCGCCACAATTCCGATCACACAGGCCACTTTGGCCAGCACGGACAAAAGCATGGAGCACACACTGTTTGATGTGCAGGCCTTACAGGAGTATATCATACTCTGTTGTCAAAAACAGAATGGCGGTCTAATTGACAAGCCCGGCAAGTGAGTTGTGTTTAAAGCATTTTTATTTTGTAATATGTATATCATTAGTTCTTGCTTCTATTTTGTACAGACCACAAGATCTCTATCACACTTGCTACACACTCAGTGGAGTTTCCATAGCACAGCACTCGGAATCCGCACGATTTCCACAAGTGTTGGGTGACACTATTAACGAACTCTTACCCACACACCCTCTGTTTAATATACCACCGAAGTCTGTGGTAGCTGCTCTAAGCTATTTCTCAGACAATTCCAACAATGATGCCGATAGAATCGATAGTACCTGGAAGCCAGCCGAAGAAGAAGATAGATAAGACCACAAAGGATTCACACAAAACTGTAGCCAGAGGCATATACATACATATATATTTTGTACACAGTAGATTTTCCTTAAACGTTATTAAATTGTTTGTGCCCAATTTCAATATACTGAGCATTTGTGAATAAGTCCTTTTATGACTCACATTTTAAAATTATACTAACAATACCAAAATGTGAAGGAACAGACTTCACCTTACAGAGAGACTTGACCTTACGGAATGAACACACCCGGCACAGTTTGTGACGAGGAAACGGCGGAATAAAAAGATTCCGAGAATGCTTTCAAACCGGCTTGTGCAATTTAATTACTTTTAACGGACATTTTGACTTCAAAAGCAACTATATAACAACTGTCTTTTAAAAGAATGTAGCTTATGTGACCTTCGAGCCGCCTCCAGCTGCTTGTTTGAGTTTCTTTTCATGCGTTAGAGATACAAAATGTGTATCCAAATCATATCGCCGCCGAAAGCCGACGCTACATATTTCACACCTGCCAGGAAAAAAAGTAATTAAAATTATGTATAGAAATATGTATGTTGCTTTGCATATTACATACTTATAGGGTCGATTGTCGCTGTGCTTAACCATATGGTACCGAAGTCGAGCTGGACCGGAGAAGCCTTTCGAGCAAATATTACACACGAACGGTTGCTCATTATGAGTCAATTCGTGTTTGTTGGCCTCTATAAACGAGACGAAACGTTCCTCACAGTGTTTGCATTTGAATGGTGTGTCCGTGTTGTGCCCTTTCATATGATGCTCCAGCGTGTACTCCGTATCGAACGATTTGGTACAATATATGCAGCAATGTGGCAGCTCAACTTGAGGCTCGACTGGTCCTTTCTTTTCCTCTTCTAGCTTTTTCGTTGCGTGAAACATTCTGAAACAGACAAAAGTCAGCAATATTTGAAGAATATGCAATTAAAAGTGCGTTTACTTCTCGTGATAATTTCTTGAGGCCCTTTGAGTAAATACTCTGTCGCAGTAGCGGCAGTTGAAAGGTTTTTCATTATTGTGCTTTACTCTTACATGTAATTGTTTCGAGTAGTTTGTGTAAAAGGTCTCTGGACACTGCGGGCATTTGAAATTTTTCGTGCGAGTATGGCGCAACATATGCTCCTTGAAGTTTCCTGATCTGTAGGTAAAGTAACCGCAAATATGGCATACAATCTTTTGATTATAGTTATGGTTTTGATTTGGAATGCATTTATCCTCCTTTGCGGCTTTTTTAATGCGTTTTTTTGGGCTTGCTTTTTCTGCTCCACCATTCGCCTCTTGAATTAATGAATTTAAATTTGGTTCACCCAACCCCACACTTAGAGGATCATTGGAATTGTTTCCTTCTGGAATTTTATGGGCGGCGTGAGGTTCCTGCTTTTCGCCAATCTCCACCTGAGCTCCATAAACGCTTTCAGAATCATTAACATAATCGGTAAATACTTCAGCGGTAAGTTCCGGAGTAGAGCTTTCGGTTATTTGTACTAATATTTTGGAATCACCATACTCATCCAATTTAGCATTGTCTTTAATAATGTGTGGATTGTCCTGCTGCTGTTGTCTTTCCAATTGCAGAATTTGATCAGTTCTTATACAGTTCTCTCGAAAAGTAGTGGCCCTGTCTAAATCTGAAAGACAGTTTGGGCAGATGTAATGGGGTAGTCCATCCAGCAGTTGTATCTTTAACATTTTTAATTAATTGTATTTAAACTTCAAAAGTTAAGTACTAATTTGTCTTACCATAACCCCTGAAATGGTTTCGATGTTATATAGCAGGTAACTGCTCGAATCTTGATAAAGATCCTTAGCATCTTCATCTGCAGAAAAATAACGATTGCAAATCCGACATGTACATTCAGTTATCCTGCAGAAATCATATAATACAACTAAATATATTTAAATATATATTTGCTGCCAGTTTATCACCTTTCCCTTTTGTATATGCTTTCCTCAGTTTTGTTGTTTGTATTATCCGACGAAAATATTTCTGTAACGTTTTGATCAGCATTTGTTATCATAACTTGTTCCAATTCTTGATCAAGTTCTATGGCATCTCCATCGCTTTTAATATCTACTGGCATCTCATCTAATGGATTTATTTTAGTTTTTGGTAAACTCAAAGTATGTTTTTTAGAGCTGCACTTTACGCGTTTCCTCCTCTTCTCTTCTACCGACTCATCCAAGATTAGTTCAGTTTCTTGTCCTCTAAGGTTTATATCTGTTGTGGTAGCACGTTTCCTGGCGCGGCTTACACAGCGCTTTCCTTTTTGAGAAGCATTCCTTTTGTTATTACGATGCCCCATTACTTTTTCACACGATTGATCAAAAATGTCCATATCGTTTCTAATAAATCGGGGAATCGAGCCCGGCTTTAATGTTCTTTGCGATAGTGACCCTAGAAATAAGGATTCAGCCATTATTTAATCTACGCTCAACAGTATCCAAAATACACACATAAATATATTACTATGTACATATATATAAGCACATAGAAAACTGCTCTGCTTACCCATTTCCCATTGCATAGTACCTTGTATATCCTCTGGGGAGAAATGCTGGCTGCAAATATAATCCGTTCCTGGGTTTATTTCAACGTCGCTATCACAAAATTGCAGCCATTGCTTCAAAACCTGCTTCTTTTTTGGAAAGCCAAAGAAACTTATTCGCTTATTGCATAGTCTTGTTTTGTTTTCGCAACTGTGCACGGCACACCGAGGCATTTTACAAAATCACTATTTTTTGTGGCAGAATCCATTGTTGATGCCACAGCTGATTTCGATGCTTATTTAGATGTGTACAATCCGATACCCCGACTATCCCGTTTGTACTCGATATGTGACTAGTGACAGGAAGATATTTTCATAAACTTAGCCGGATGCCGGTGGCATACTATTTATACCCTGCACCCACTGGTATATTAGTTTTGTGCGAATGTATGTAACACACAGAAGAAGATGTAACAGATCTCACAATGTATGCATGTATGTATATTCTTGACCAGTATAATAAAACGAGTCGATATACACAAGGATCTCAGAAAGTATAAGAGCTAGAATGACCAACTTGGTATCAGGATTTTCCTAAATCCGAGAAAGTACACAATTTTTTTTTTTTTTATGCACCTCATGTAAATTATAGAGTACATTAATTTATGTGTCCACTTACATATGTGTGAAATATTTAGTTTTATATTTTATTAATTGATTTTTTTTTCTTTTCTTTCATTTTCAATTTGATTAAAATATTAAACAGTACAAGTTATTTAATAGTTGGGCCCGCCCGACTCTAGCAAATCATTCTTGTTTAATTATTGAATAAACAAGAAACATCTGCATTCTATAATAAAACCCTTTTATTTTGATTCTGTCGCTTAGAAATGTTTATGATACTAGTTTAAAATTTGCTATTAAATTTGTATTTGTTTGCATGATTTGGTGCATTTATAGGTTTCTAATTGGACGTCATACTCTCACGTGACCTCTGGACAATCACTAGCGGTTTTTTTCAGGTTTCGCTCGTGGGTTACAGATAGATTATGCGTGGCCAAGTTGTTTGGTCGACGAAAGGCGACGTTGCATGTCTCGCATCTGTAAAAGGGAACAAATTCATAAACAAATTTGTAGTTAAAGAATAACTTAAATATTTACTTGTATGGACGATCTCCACTATGCATAGTCATATGATACTCAAGGCGGGCCTTATAAGAGAAGCCTTTCGAGCATATATTGCACACAAACGGTTTCTCGTTGTGAGTCAACTCGTGTTTGTTAGCGTCTATATGGCTAGCAAATCGTTGCTCGCAATAATTGCACTTAAAGGGTGTTTCAGTATTGTGCAATTTAACATGATGCTCCAAGGCATACTCTGTATCAAATGATTTGGCGCAATATATGCAACAAAAGGGCAATTGGACTTGTGATTCGGGTGGTTCGGACGGCAACTCGTCTGCTAGATGTTTTGTTGGATGTAACATTCTGAAATAAATGTAAATATTAATATAGATGTTGATAACATTATAAATAAAATTGAACCTACTTCTCATGATAATTTCGTGAGCCGGCTTGAGTAAAGACTTTCTCACAGTAACGGCACTTGAATGGTTTTTCATTTTTGTGTATAGTTCGTATGTGCAACTGCACCAAGTAGTTATTGTAAAATTTCTCAGGGCACTCTGGACATTGGTAGTCTTTACTACCGGTGTGACGTAGCATATGCATTTTGAAGTTATCATTTCTTTTTGTAACGTAACCACAAATATCACAGACTATTTTTTGAGTTTTCTGATTTTGGAGCCGTCTTCTCTTGCCCTCAATTTTCCTACGTTTCTCCTGGTGTACTTTTTCAACAATTTTATTTGAATCGTTATCTGTACATACATTTCGTTTTAAATGTTGTTCATCCAATCCCATACCAAGAGGATCATCAATATGTCCGCTTTGTACTTTTTTGGTTGGTGCATTCTCTTGCTTAACGGTATGTTCTACCTCAATTCCACATGAATTATCTGAATCATTGGCGTAGTCGGAAACTCCGTCAGAATAAACTTCCGCTGAATCTTCCACTCCTATTTTAAAAAATTCCTTACTATCATCATTACTGGTTTCCCTTACGACCTCAGTTGACTGCGAGTTTTGTAGATGTGCAGATTGCAGTCTTAGAGTCCCTTCGGTTCGTATGCAATTTTCTCGAAAAGCAATCGCTCTGCCTAAGTCTAAAAGGCACCCCGAACAGATGTAATGAGGTAGACCCTCCAACAGTCGGAGCTGTAAGGCCCAAATGTGGTGTTTGAAATTTAGCATTAAACGAACAGCATTTTTTGCTTACCGTTATACCTGTGATCGTTTTTATGTTATATAATAATACTCTGTTAGTTTCATGAAGAAGATCCTTGGTTTCCGCATCGGCGACAAAATAACGATCACATGTCCGGCATTTATCCACGTTATTAATATTTCTGTTGTTGCCATAAACTGATGAGGTTTTAGATCTTTTGGGATAACTGTAATTAGGATTGAATATGTGACTAAATGTTCTATTCATAATGCAAAACATTTTTAAACTCACTTATTTTCAAATAGTTTCTGTTCACTTGGGTCTTTGTCACTATTCAATGCATGGAATTCTATAATATTGGGATCAGCTTCTTTAATCTCTCCTTCTTTTAGCTGTTGAGGACTATCTGCCCAATCCGCAACAGAAACGGAATTAAATTCACACATATCGTCATCGATTGCAACATCCAGTGGCATCTCTTCCAAAGGATTTATTTCAGCTTCTTGTAAGTTGTTAGTCTGGATGGCTGGTATTATTTTAGATGCTACCTTAGTATTTCTTCGTGTTTTCTCCCTATCTTCGGAAACTTCCTCCACAAAAGTTGGTACAATTTCCAGTGACTTATGACTCTCGTCTGCACGTCTTGGTTCAGGAATGCTTGTTGTGCATGCACGTGTTTTAGAGCGCCTGTTTGGCCTATTTGTTTCAGCTTTGGTCAGCAGCTGAGCAACCAGCCTTTTGTTATTGTGCTGTTCAGACTTTTCCTTATGATTGTCAAAGCTCATATCGTTTCTGTTAACACAGGGAACTGCGCCTAACTTCAAAGTTCGCTTAGAGAGCAGTCCTACAAATAAGAGATTATAGTATAATTATATGACAGTTTATATTAGAAATGGTATCCTCTTATCCTATACATGTATCATTTGATCTGCCGTTAATTAATTTCCTTTATTTTTATTAATGTAGTCTCTAGGTGCAGCTACCGTCCAACAGTTAATAATTCTTACCCATTTCCCATTGCATAGTGCCTTGTATATCCTCTGGGGCGAAATGATCGCTGCAAATATGATCTGTTCTTGGGTTTATTTCAACTTTGCTGCCGCAGAACTCTAGCCATTGGTCCAAGGTTTTTTTGTTTTTTGGGAAGCCAAAATAACTTTTTTGTGGCCTATCGTCCAACTTAGCTTTGTTGTCGCAATTACAAACGGCGCACCAAGGCATTTTACAAAAAAAAAACCGTACTCCTACAACAATATTTTATTTGTGACGGCACAGTAGGGATGCAACAACATCGATACATCCGATATTTATGCTGCTTCGATGTTTTTTTGATGATCCGATGTAAGATAATTGGTGCATTGGTTGACGTTACAAAAGATTTAATTAGGAAAAACGTGTGAAACCCAAAATAAATGTCCCAATTCAAAAGACGATTACTCTTATTTAAAATTTTCGTTTTCTTTAGCATTAGACTCGTTCGAATCAATGAACATTAAATTAAAAAATTATTTCTTTTATTTCTTCTGGGTATTGTTTCGTATATGTGCTGAAGCTCTTACTTTTAATTCGAGTTTTTATAGAAGTATGCTTAAACTTAAATAAATTAAAGCTTATATTAAAATCAATTAAGGTTATTAAACAGATGAGGTTTTTCATTGAAGATGCGGTAAATCATATCGGTGTTCAATATTTCTACGCAATACAAAATTAGCCTTTACTCATATATTCGCTTAATAATTTGTGCTCCAACATGTTTTTCAAGCTGTATCAACTTTCTGCTCTCTTTTTTGTAGAACTTTTAAATGAATTCGCTTTTGTATTTTCAGCAAGGTGCGCCCTTGAATAAAAAAAAGTCGTTTAAATGATTAAATGCTTATTTTTTGTAATTCAACAACTCACTTTTCGTGTTTATACCGTTGTACATTATCAGTAAATGCTAGGTCACAATGACGGCAACTAAAGGGCTTTTCGTTTTTATGCTTCACTCGTATGTGTATCCTCATCAGGTAGTTGTTGTAAAATGTCATAGGACATTCGGGGCACTCTACGTTTTTAATGCCAGTATGACGCATTTCATGCATGTTCAAGTTATGACGAGTGCTTGAGATGTGACCGCAAATCTTGCACACATAATCCACTGGTGGATCCTCTGGTTTACCTACTCCATGAATCTTTCTAAATTAAACGAGTGTCTAATGATTATTACATTTTAATGGTACTCCATAACTTACTTTTCATGTATATATCGTCGGGTATTATCCTTGAATGCTAGCTCACAATGACGGCATTTGAAAGGCATTTCGTTTTTATGTTTCACTCTTACGTGTAATTGCATCATGTAATTGTTGTAAAATTTCATGGGACATTCAGAACAAGCAAAATTTTTCGTTTTTGTGTGTCGTAACTTATGCATGTTAAAGTTATGACGAGTGCTTGAGATATGACCACAAATATCGCATACAATATTGAGATGATTATTTTGCAAGTATCTTCGGAGTTTTCTCTCCTCAGGAGTAAAGAGCTTGCGTGGCATTCGCTCCCGCGGCTTGCGTTTTCTCTTAGGGCGTTCACCTTCCCTCTTACTTCTTCCTCTTTTGGTTATTTTTTCACCATCCTCTAAACTAGTTGCTTCGTGTAATAAATTATTTAAATCTGTTTTACCCAACTCTGCAGAAATAGGATCATCGATACTGATCGTTGCTTGAGTTTTTTTTGCCATATTGGTTTCTTGGTTTATGCTACCTTCTACCTGGATTTCATCTGCATTAACTAAATCAATACAACTATAGACAGATCCTTCGGAATCTTCCTCAGTAGGCTCTCCTCTTGGTAGTTGTATAAACTCTTCAAAATCATCAGAGTCATCGATTTCACTTATGACTTCAATTGGCTGTGAGCTCTGCTGCTGCTCCTTAATGTACAATTGCAAAATCCTTTCATTTCGTATGCAGTTGTCTCTGAAAACAGTTGCTCTGTCCAGATCTGAAAAGCAACCTGAACAAATATAATGCGGAAGTCCCTCCATAAATTGGATCTGCAAAAGTTAAAATTATTTTTCTTTACGTGACACATTTGATCCATTTGATGATTACCATAATCCCAGTTATCGCTTCAATGTTATATAGGAGCGCATTATTAGCTTCATCGAGAAGATCCTTTGCATTGCCATCCGCAATAAAGTGCCGATCGCATATACGACATTTTTTCATGTTGTCAATTACTTCGTTTCCGGTATAAAATATTGTAGCAACATCATTTTTTTTAAATCTGCCATAACAACAATATTAATACTTTCGTTAATATAAAACCAAAGATACATATATAATTATTATTGTGGCCTTACTTAGCATCCTCAAGTACTGTATTCTCAGTTTTAGTGTTCTCACAGATATCCAGAATTATCACATCATTACATGGTGATTTATTGATTGAATTAGAGTGATCCACAGAATGCCACAGTTGTTGGTTGTCAGTATAATTGTTGGACTTTTTAATATTGTTTGTTTCAAAATCAACATCTTCAATATAGACTTCATGTTTAAGCTCTTTCGGTATCGCATCAAAAAGATTTGTATTACTTTCTTGTGCTATAACGCCGTCGTTCTGGATTTCAATACTGTCTTTTGTGTTTGTTTCATTTACACCTTGAAGCCATAAGATCCCATCGTCTGTACAATTTGGATCATCAGCTTCTGACACGACGTCGTCGCTATCGCTTAGTAGATCAACTTGTGGTTCTTGCAATGGATTTGGTTCTTGTTCGTGAGCCTTGAAATCTCGTGCTTTTAAACTTCGCGTATCAGCCATGACCTTAGCATACTCGTCTTCGGGGGGACCCGCTCTGTTATCCTTTTCAGCATTCGCTAGCAGTTCAGCCACAATCTGTTTGTTCTTTCGCCTTTCAAGTCTTTCCTCGCGCTTCTGACCTGTTAAGGTCATGTCGTTCCTGTTTATACAAGGCACCGAGCCTGGCTTTAATGTTCTGCGGGAGCGTAGACCTAAAATGTGAAACTCAAATTACTGCTTATCATGTGCAATATCACAAAAAACAAAATTGCTGTGTATTTCGAGAAATATACATTAAATAATATTAGCGTACCCATTTCCCATTGCAAGGTGCCTTCTATGTCCGCCGGGTTGAAGTGTTCACTGCAAATACGAGCATTTCTCATATTGATTGGAGCCTCGCTACGACAAAAATGTATCCATTTTTCCCGAGCTTTAACAGTTTTTGGAAACCGAAAGAAACATAATTTGGTATCCTCTGCTTTGTTTTTGCAGTTATGCACAGAACAACTGCGAGACATTTTGCAGTTTGTTTATAGCCGAATTTATTAGTGACTTCGATATTTGTACAATATCGATACCTTAACTATACAATGTTTTAAGGAAGAGCGTGAGTCGTGATCCCACGTGTGCCTAAACTGTGATTGGCTAACTTCTAATGGATATTTGAGTTTTTGAAGGAAGATTCGTTTTACAATAGTTCAATTCAACGGACAAATTTGTATTACTTCCATTTTTCCATTCCAGCCAAAATGTAACATGATGTGTTTTCGAAGGAAGATTCGTTTTACAATAGTTGAATTCAACGGACAAATTTCTATTATTTTAATTTTTCCGTTCCAGCCAACATGCATTTAATTTAGAAGTATATTACCAAACAATAAAATTTCCTCTCCACAAATCCATATCTAAGTGCGACTTACAATAAATGCTGATTTTTTCAATACCCTGCATCCCAAGGGTAAAGTGAAATGCATCAATTTACTTACATATATATGTATATGCGTTTATTAATACATTCATATGTAAAATTTTGTGAGAATTTGTACAAATTAGCCAAGATATTAATACCAGTCCATCATGTTTCCATCTGTCCAGCATTCGTTTTACTGCTTGATGGCGCTTCGTCATTAGGAGCCGGTTGTGCTTGCTTGAGCCGTTGCAGCATGTTATGAGAAACCAAATCAAGCTTCAAATGCTGTATACTTAACGCGTTGCCGTCCCAATCCATAAGCGATTTAAACTTGACAGCGTCGCACAGGTTCAGCAACTCTAAATAATAAACAGTTTTTAATGTTTGTATAGGAGTAGCTATCATATTTTTACGAGGCACGCTTACCCAAACCACCACTTTGATACTCGTTACGCTCCTTTTCCAGCGTTATTGTGATAATATCCTTGCGCGCTGCATGTTGATTTGCACGATGTTTCCCAATTGACTGCTTTAGCGCAATTTGTTCAAGCTCCCCATCGAAACGCTGAAGATAAATCGCTATTAAATTTTCAAATTCCTGTGGCGTCAATGGTTCTGTCCTGCCTTCATCTATGTGTTCTACGAACCAACTCAGCTTCTCGCCAGTTATATTACTCTTGATGGCATGACCTAGACGTAGTTTGTGTTTGTTGTTTTGACGGCGTGCTTTTTTCCCCAATGCCTTAGTTTTGCGACTGTTGGGATGTTTACATTTCGCTAGCTCTTTGCGTAGATTTGTCTGCATGTGGGTATTGATAATTTAGCCAGCTCTAAAAACAAATAGGATTTACTCAAAAACTTACCATTTTGGGTATCTCACGCTGTTCCACGTTTGTTTTTTTTTTTGGTATTAGAGTTGAGCAATAAGTAGCGCAGCTGTTATTTGTCACCAATACTTAAATGGCACGAATCGCAGCTGTGATCAGATGTTACAAATTGCAGTCACCCAGTCACAGTCGCAGTGATATTCGCTGGTTGGGCAAACTAATATTTTTATCACGAACTGCTATTTTTAAAAACGGTACCATTTACAACCGATACAGTTAACGTGTTTGTAATTCGAATTGTTGATAATGTTAATCTTTTTTTCAAGTCATAAGTTAATCATTTATACCACTCTGGTAAGAAATAAACAAAAATCACTATAAACTTGTTACATCATTTTCTAACAGATTCCATTATTTGATGATAAAGTCCTCGTTTATAAATTACATTCGTTCCATCTTTATATATAAGCGGATAGCGTGAAATAAATCGCTGGTTTTTCCATTTTACATTCCGTGTATGGGCAGCTATTAATGAGGTTTTTACCCATTCACGATCGTTATATTGCTCTGGTTGATCCACAAAGTTTTCATTATAGTAGGGGAAGGGGATAAGATTTTGCTGCAGTAACACTCTAATCAAGCAAGTCCATTTGAAACAGGAAAAAAAGTACATATATGATCCTGATTCACTCCCCATACCCCCGGCAAAACGGATATTTCCATAACTCCATAATACTTGGAAATGTTACCCAACTTGTAGCGGTCTGCTTCCGGTGGTTAGTCCTTCGTTCACATCGAAACTTCTGGATCGGAAAAAGTGCACATTAGCTGAGACTGTTTCCAAGACCGCTTCGAAATGGTCGCATGATTAATGAAATCTTCGTACAAATCTTTTTACAGATTAGACTGCTTACCATTGCGCAGGTCCGTTATTCAGTGTTATGTATGATGCTTGCATTGTAGGTTTCTAAGCTAAGTCACTAACCATTTAACATACATACATATATATGTTCATATGTCAGTCAGAAATTAGTAAAAAAAAAAAACTAAACAGTCATTTAATTCCAAATCTCCGATCGATGAAGAAATGTCGACAAAAGATATCTTTTTTCTAAAGAGATCTTTTTATTTGAAATATTCGATATAAAATAAAAATTTGATCTAACATAACTTATTCTTGAGAATATAAATGTTTATTTATGGTCTAGTACGCGAAAATAAATGCACTTGTGGACAAATTTCAAATTTCAAACCTCAGCAGGATTCTTTACACTTTCTGCCGGTCGTACGGATGATCTCACTCGTTTAGGTTGAATTCCGTGAATCTTTCTAAAATAGTGAAAACAATAATGAGATATATTATAAACTTAAAATGTAATTTCAAATGTACATATTACTAGAACCTACCTTTCGTGGAGATAACGTTTAGTAGGTGTGGTATATTTCTTTTCACAATGACGGCAACTGAATGGTTTCTCGTTTCTATGTTTCACTCGTACGTGTACTTGCATCATGAAATTCTGGTAAAATTTCATCGGACATTCAGGGCATTGAAAGTTTTTCGTACCAGTATGACGCAACTTATGCATATTCAAAGACGTACGATTGCTTGAGACGAATCCACAAATATCACACTCGTTATTGGATGGCGTATCCACTTTTTTACCTACACCATGCATTTTTCTAAAAAAAGACGGGAATTTTAATGTATTACATTTTGTTGTAAACCAACAACTTACGCTTCATGCTTATATCGTGCGCCGTTATCACCAAATGTTAACTCACAATAACGACAGTGAAAAGGCCTTTCATGTTTATGAACCACTCGGATGTGTAACTGTAACATGCAATTCTGGTAAAATTTCTTAGGACATTCTGAACATGCAAAATTTTTTGTTCCAGTGTGACGCAATTTATGCATTGTGAAGCCATTGCGAGTGCCGGAAATGTGACCACAAATATCACACACAATATTCAGATTGCTATTTTGCATTTTTTTTCGAAGGCGCCTTTCCTCAGGTGTAAAAACCTTGCGGGGCTTTCGTTCCTTTGGCTTCCGTTTTCTCTTAGGACGTTCGACTTCTTTCTTCGTTTTCATTCTTTTTGCTCTTTTAGCTCCACCATTTGCTTCACGTAACAGTCTATTTATATTTGATTCGGCCACTCCTACGCAAAGAGGATCGGCGTTACTGGGTGTTTCTGGAGGTTTTTCTTTAGTTGTGGCATCATTCTTTAGAATAGGTTCTAACTCAACTTGAACCCCATTATGACCTAAATGATCAAATATTTGTTTTCTCTGTAATTCCTCACAATTTTCATGGTCGTCGACGTCTTCTATGATTTCAATTGACTGTGCAATCTGTTCCTGTTCTTGAATTTGCAGGCTAAGGATCTCTTCACTTCGTATGCAGTTTTCTCGAAAAGCAGTGGCTCTGCCCAAATCTGAAAAGCAACCCGAACAAATATAGTGGGGAAGTCCTTCCAGCAATTGAATCTGTAACATGCAAATAAAATTACATTTTTTACATCACATTTTTGTTCTGTTTAATAATTACCATTATCCCAGTGACCGCTTCAATGTTATATAGGAGTGCACCGTTAGTTTCATCGAAAAGGTCCTTTGCGTTGGCATCAGCAATAAAGTATCGAGCACATATACGACATTTTTTCATGCTGTCACTTATTTCCTGCCCAGTATAAAATATTGTAGTGGCAGCTTTTTTGATAAACCTGCAGTAACAAAGATACATGATATGCGTTAGTTAAAACCCAAAAATATTACATAATTGCTTCTTACTTAGACGCCTCAAGTACTTTTTTGTCAGTTTTATTATTTTCGCTTGTATCCAGAACTATCACATCGTCCCAGCGAAGCAATTTGTTCTGTGTATTAACTGCCTGTAAATTGAGATCCGTGGAAGCCAACGGTTGTTGATGCACAATTAAATTGTACGATGCGTTCGCATTAGTTGGGTCCTCAACAACTAACACATCTCCAAGGCAGACTTCATTTTGAAGGTCTCGCAGACAATCGGAAAGACTCGGCTTACTGTTTTCTGAGACGACACCGCCACTATCAAGTTCAAAATCTATTTGTGGCTCTTGCAAGGGACTTGCTTCATCTTCTTGGGCGCAAAAAACTCGTGTTTTTGTGCACGGCTCTTCAGACATCGTCCTAGCATAGTCGTGCTCATCATTTTCAGCGCCAAATAATTGTCCATCCACAATCTGTTTGTTTTTTCGTCCATATATCCTACTGGAGTTGTCCTTTTCAAGTTTTTCCTCAATATCTATTACCTCAGAGCATACGTCATTTTCAAGGTCTAACAATTCATCTGAAAGAATTGTCTCACTGTCTTGTGATAAGACGGTGTCACTATTAAATTCAATATCTACTTGTGGCTCTTTCAATGGACTTTCTTCATCCTCCTGATCATCAAACACACGTGGCTTCAAGTGCACCTTATCGGCCACCGTTTTAGCATAGTCTTCAGCCCTTTCAGCGTCAGCTAGTAGTTCTTCCACTAATTGTTTGTTTTTTCGCTTTTCCTCGCGAAATTGATCCAATAAGCTCACGTCGTTTTTGTTTATACAAGGCACCGCACCCGTCTTCAATACTAAGCGAGAGCGAAAACCTATAATGACGAAAAATTGTCTTAAATTTTAAGCAGGGGCAAAATTATTGATCGTAAATGCAGTATGGCAGTGTCGGATCAAAAAAGCAAGTCTCAAGCCCACTCCCTCGAATGGCTTCTAAGAACAAGCTGAGATTCACAATCGCAACCGGCTGTAGTTAATGAGTACGTTGTAAACAGTTTTTTGTTTAGGTTTGTATTGCCTATGAATTGAATCCTGTGTTCTTTTCTATTGATAACTGGACATACCAAGGTCGCACTGCATCCGCCCATGGACGTCCTCTGGATTAAAATGCTCCTCGCACACTCTCCACGTTTTCTTATTAAATGGGTCGGTTCTTTTAGTAAACTTTAACCACTTCTTTAAAAGTTTCTCGTCGCTTGGGAATGAAAAAAGTGTATGTTGGTTATTCATTCCCTTTTTGTTTTCGCAGTTTTTTACACAACACTTCATGGTGGGCGGATTTAACTTTAACAAGAAAGAAGTGAAAGTACAAGAAAACAAAACAAATGTTGCAGCTGATACAGTGTATGATAGGGATAGGGATGCAAGAAACACTCGATAAGTCGACCATGGACGATTTTTTAACATGATCTATCGGATGAGCAGACTGCAGCTTCCTTATGAATATCGAGTTCCGTGGCAGTCCCATTAAATTATTGCATGAAGTGCGGGAATTCAGCTTCTTCTTATATTGCGGACAAATATTTGTCGGTGGCTTAACTTCATCCGAACGACTATTTTAGAGCCGTTATTCAGAGTCATCGAAATTAAATATATGTACATAAACATGGTAATAAATAGTAAGTAGTAGTAGAGCGCATATTGTTGTTTTCAAAATGTTTCATGAAAATCGATTATTATCGACAGATTATTACTCGTACATCGATTACTCAATGTGCACATACCAACGATATTGTGGAAAATGTTTATTTTTGTTTACTACAATTGTTGTGCCTAGTTATTCATGTTCTCTAGTCATCCCCATCTGAAACGGAAAACCCCCGCCCAGGGCATCGACCGTAAAGCATTTATTGGCCACTTGGTGGATGAATATTATACAACCACAAATGTTGGTGAGGTTAATTCAAAAGCCGGTTATTTCTGATTATATTATTGCTATTGTTCCAGAGGCTCAGGAACAGGTGACAGCTAATTTAGCCAACTTTGCTTACGATCCTATCAATTGGACATATTTGCATGAAGCTCAGGCATTGGAGGTATTTTTAGAGTTATTAGAGACACACAATCAAAGCCTACAATTGCATGGAATCGCTGCATTGTGTAATATCTGCTTAGGTGGGAAAAATCAGTCATACTAGTCATCTTATTCTTACTGTATTAACTTTTCCAACCCACAGATAGAACTGCTGAACAATTCATAATAGAGCCAAAGCACACCTCTATCATCATCGACTTGTTTTTACGTACAGAACATTTAGAAATTGTGCTCCACAGCATTGCACTTTTCCTTCAAATACTTTCCTCAGATGTGCAAGAAACTCTGAAATACAAAGAGCTACTTGTTACGCCCGCACTACTTAAACGCATTCAGCATTGGCGCCAGGAAGCAAAGGATAAACGTGTTGTCAATCTGTGCGTAGTATTCCTAGAGCAATTTGGCCGGCGCATCCAAATAACTGAGATAGACAATGTTCAAAGTGCGCCGCCAGTTGAGCCATCAAGCGTTCAGTCATCTGAAGCAGGTTCAAATAATTAAACGTTTTACACAAAAAGATCTGGAACAGTTTGCTGCCTTCACGGGGGACTACAACTACATACATAGCAAGGAAGTACCTGTGCATGAGCGAAGGGTACACGGAGCTCTGCTCAATGCAGTTGTAGCAGGCATCATTGGCACCAAACTGCCAGGGCCAGGCACCGTGGTGCTAGAGCAAAGCTTTAAATTTCTGCACCCTTGCCGTATCGATGTGGACACAATTGTGACGGTGCGCCTTCTAAACGAACGTAAAATATCCGTAGTAGAATACGATTGTCGGCAAAATGAACAAATTGTGTTTGCGGGCAAGGCCAAATTGTTGACACAAAAGCATTGACAAAATTATTGGTATAAAAATAAAAGACTTCACTTCTTATTGTCCATTTATTTTTTTGATGCTCGCTTGCCCTCTCCTTTCTTGGGCGGCGCTTTTCCACGCAGCTTGCGCAAACGTTTCATTTCCTCCTTAAAGTCTTGATGTTCGTCACGGAACAATCCATAATCGCGCAGATTCCTCATGAGCAAATGCGTTTCCACGTGCCGTGGGTACCAGTTGATCACATAGTCTCGCTTATGTATCGGCTCTTCTGAAAACATCCGAACGACCTGAAACAAATCATATTAGCAAATTTTGGGACAATTGCCCTTCATATACCCATCACCTTCATAGATTTTTCATTTGTTGTGCGTGCTACTTCGCCGAATATGCGATTAGAAAGATAATTCATTCGCCGTGCGTATTGTGTGCCAAGTTTTATTAATTCCGTATACTTATACGCCGGCATTTTTCTTTTTATCACTAAACCGTAGCTCCTATTAAAAGAAAACAATTGTAGTTGCGGTTATGTCACACACACTGCGACACAAAACTTAACAGCTGATTGCAGTACTGCCAATCCTGCGCACACTAGCTCGAACAACTCACGTTTCGTGAGCCATTTTGTTATTGATATCGGCGGGGGATAAAACGCAACAGCTGTTTATTTCACCCACGACTCACATTGAAATTCTTTGTGAAATACAAATTTCAACTTTCGAACTGTGTTGTGAAATAAATTCCAGGCCGGACGCATATCCAAGTATATGGCACAAATACTCAGTTTATGTGGGAAAGTGTGACACGAAACAATGCTTTCGCGGACAAAAACTAAAACAGTAACTGCAACCAATGTGGTTGTAGACACAGTTGAGACTTATATTATAAATCAAAATCTGTTGGGAGTAATAGCCGAGCTTGATGATGTTCTCTGCAATCTGGTTAATATGCACAAAGATAATGAGTTGGCCTTGAAAAGAGTGCTGCAGTGCATTTATCGATTGCTGCATAATAACGACAAGTGGAATGTAAAGTTTGGCGCCAAAGTGTTCCACAAACTCATTGCACTTGTGATTGAAAGAGAAGGCATCCAGAGCCGCCAATTGGTGGCCAACGTCCTCGTCTGTGTTAAACTGCAGGCGCAAAAATTTCCCAAGCGAGATGGCAAGTTTCTGTTGGATCAGCTTTGGGTGCTTAGCTCGAGCAGTGAACAACAGCCACATGCTGCGCAAATACTTGTGCAGTTATTCGACGACTTTGTGAGGGAAATCGGATTGAAATTCGCATGCTCAGCTCAGCTGCACACAGTTGTTAAACAACTGCTGCATTCAAAAGAAAGAGAGGAGCGTCGATCAGCATATTTTATAATGCGCAAGCTGGTGTTAGTTATTGGTGATGAAGCCAATCAAGTTTATCAGCTTGTGCAACAGACACTTCAGCAATGGGCTTGGCATGATCACATAGAGTACCAGCGAAATTGGAGCGACTATGTGACCATCATGGAAAATTTGGAGGAGCAGCAATCGCACCTAGTCCTCCCCACACTAAGTACTCTACTACCGCGTATTGTCTGCTCAAATCAAAGCGATGACTGGATTGGCTGGCTGCGCATTCTTTATGTGAAATTATTGCGGGACAACAATAACATCTTAGTGCTGCGTTGGACCATCGAGTACTTCCTGGCACATGTCACGGTCGACGACCTGAACCGCGCCAATGTCCTCAACGAGTTTCTTGCAGCCACAAACAATACTCAGCTATACAATGTAGAGGGATATTTTCTGCCAGAAATCAAAACAGAGCGATTTCTGGCCAATAGTAATAGTTTGATATTATTGAAAGCTCTATGCGCTGTGCCATGGCGGGCCGTGCCACTTATTAATTGGCTGCGCACTTTGAAAAAAATCGAAGCGCCACAAATTGATATGGAACTACTCGAAGGGCTTTCTAGACGAGTGTTCTATTTACAGAATCCTGAACTTCGACACTATGCAATTAAACTTTTGTCTAACAACTTTTCGGTGAGTATTTGCAGCAGTAACAGCATTATCACTTATTTATAATACATACAATTATTATTCTCAGGACTTTATCGAGAAACTTTCCATCATGGATTACCTGTGGTTTATTGAGTCTCTGCATAATGTCAGTGATGCAGATCATTGTGACATGGGTGACCGCGTAGCATCTGAAGATTTCGTAGAATTAATGAGCGCTTACGGCATGCGCTTCTTTTTTGTGATTATGAAAAATGTAGTCATTAATGAGAATCTGCTGAAGCAGTTAAGTAAATTATCCAAAGAGCGACATGCCGTGTGGCGTCTAATTGTTGGTTTCAATTGGATGGATTTGGAAAAAGATGTGAAGATTGCATGCCTGGACTTCGTGCAAAATACGTACGGCTTAAGTTTACATCCTGAAGTGCTGCAGAAATTCACAAATATCAAAGCACTGCAGCAACATTTAAGGGGCCCTTTGAAGTGTGAATCCTATTCGGAATACTTGTATTTCGAAGCGAGGAGCGTCGACTTGTTTGTTCACGTAAACATTCATACGTGGAGTGATATTAACAAGCTTAAGCTAAATCCATTAAAACTATTGGACATGGGCACTGAAGCGACCTTTGAAAAGTTAGCAAAGCTATTGGGAAAAAATACGGAACGATTGGAAAACCCAGATTTGTTACCCACATTTCTTGCATTTTTAAAAAAGTATCTTAAAAAAATACATTTATATTCTACGTAAGTAGCGAAAAATGTGTGATATGATCTTTAAATTACACATCTGATCTGTTTACAGTATTGAAGGACTCTTAAGTTATGGAAATGCACATCTCAGCATCAAAGCAAATGAGCAACTGGTTTTGGATATACTAACGATAGACCTAAGTAATTATAATCTGGTCAAATATACCTTGACATTTGCCAAGCATATACCAACTGAGTGTTACATACAGGGAATGCTCCATGGAGACGCAACAACGGGAGATGCGCGGTAAGTTCTAATTTATATTTGAATTGAATATCAATTGAAAACATATTTAGCACTACCTTCATTTTTAAAATCGTTTGACTATTGGACAATTTTTTAAAAGCCATATTTTTAATATCTAATCCATAGCTATGAGGCTGCGTATAAGAACACTTTATTTGAAAACTCGTATGAAGGAGCCTCAGCAAGAGGGGCATTTAGTAGCATGGTACTAAACATTAAAAAAATGATTGAAATCACCGATAAATTATTGACGATCAACAATGAGCTGACGGATAAGAAACCTCGTTACTATGAGAATTCCAAGCAACATCGGATAAAAATGCGTATTGCTCGAAGTATATTAAAAATAACCGCAAATAGAAGATACTGGTCGGAACATTTATGGGCTGCCATGTTGGCCCTAAATGAGCAACTAAATGTTAGTTTCATGTACGAATATTCAGTTGCTCTCCAATTGCCTAGTCTTGAGTTTCTAGTGGAACGTCTCCAAACATTTTCCACCTATAAGCCCAGCCAGCAAGTTTCCCTTATTTCTGTCCTGCACATTTACTCCATGCTTAACTGGCGGAATCTCACTTTGGCTGAGCAGGAGAGTGTTTTTCTTCTCCTATTGCCCCATACAATGGGAGCAAATTTTCAGACACGTCTATTAGCACAACTAGTCATACATGCTCTGGCAATCGAATGTGAAAGATTCAGGTAAGCTTTGCAATAATCCTTACAGTGTCAATCTAACTAACAAATTATTTTTCTTAATTTTAAGCGTTAATTTGCCTTTAGCAGCTCAATTAAAGACCAGTATAGTAAAAACCCTAGGAAACAAATTGGATCATCATTTAGGTGAAGCTCGCCTCATACTTCCCCAATTATTCGTTGCCAATAAATATCGAGTGGACGATCTCATTTTGCACATGACAAACGCGCCATTTGATGAGTATGAGAAAGATTTTACAGGTCTTGATTCCAGTGAGGATACAAAAGAGCTGCTAATAAAAATAAATGAGATACGAAAAACATTTGAAGTCAAGGCGAGACTGGGAACTGCCAACCCAGTGGTAACATCAAATACTACGGCGAACAATGCAAATGTGCAGAGAAAAATGAATCCAATAAACGATATATTTCCTGAGAATAATCTCAAGACCGCCACCAATGCCTCCAGTGATGAGAAAGAGCTCCTGGTTGTGGCATCTCTGATTGACAAGCTGCCAAACTTGGGCGGCTTAGCGCGCACTTGTGAAGTGTTAGGCGTCAAGACTTTGGTTATGGACTCAAAGGCAAACGTAGAGAAGAGCGACTTTAAAAACTTAAGGTAATTGAGCGTGAAATGAATCCTAAATATTAAAACAAGCATTACTTCTTTACAGCATGACGGCTGAGAAGTCTCTAAACATTGTCGAAGTAAAGCCTTCAGCACTCACAGATTTTTTACTTGAGAAGCAACAGGCTGGGTATAAAATAGTTGGTGCCGAACAAACCTCGCAAAGTGTAAGCTTTGTTAATTTCAAATTTCCCAAGAAGACTGTTTTGTTGTTGGGGTCAGTAGTTACATTATATATATTCAAAAATTATTGATATTAATATTGCGGATTTTTAATTGTAGCCATGAAAAACATGGTATACCTGTAGACTTAATTGGCTTCTTGGATCATGCTGTCGAAATCCCGCAATTCGGAATTGTGCGCTCCCTAAATGTGCACGTAACAGGCTCACTTTTTATATGGGAATACTGCAACCAACATATCGTGTAACAAAACTTCGCATTTCATTTACAAATCCAGTAAGGAAATGCTGCTATGAAGGAATTAGTATATCGCAATTTAAGCTTATTTACAAAATATGTGCAATTTGATTTAGAATTATGTATATTTTTTTAAATAAGTCGGAGAGTTGCTGACGCCATAAAGTTTATATGTATATTGGACGTCATTTCTTATATTAAACTCTTAAATAAAATGTTATTTTTTGTTGATTTTTTCAATTAATAAAAGAGCAGGGGTCGATTTGAATAAAGCTACGAGTAATTCGAAATGATTCAATGGAATACGAACTTGATTAAGAATTTTAAAGTACTTTTGTAAAGAAAATAAAAATAAATATGTATATAAAAAGTAAACCAATTTAAGCAACAGTGAGGTAATGTTTCATTTCCATTTAAAGTTAAAACTTTGGAACTTGCGGAAGTTTCTCGTTTGGCCTTTTTCTTACATTTTGTGCTAACTACAACTTATAAGTACGCCCCTGCCAATCTTTATATTCATTTAAAGAAATCAGATATTGCAGGAATACCCCTAGAGCCTTCGATAAGGAATTGGGTCAAGCGCGAGCTAAAAAGTATCGTTCGCTTGTTTTTAAAAGACTGAGTAGGCATTGAAAGTTCAACATTTAACTTTGCCAAACGATTTAAATCATTCGTAGCTCAACAGTGAAACGATGAAGTTCTATTTTAATTTATTTTTGGTGTATTTGTTTTGATATAATAATTTATTTTATTTTTCACGTCTTTTTGAAAATATAACTTGCATTAGCTGTCATGATGCACAGAAGAAGGCGACATGTTTGTAAAATATATTTATTTAATTCTTTTTATTTAATTACTAGCGTATCCGGCTTTCGTTGCACGCCCCGTTTTTGTTCCGTTTCTATTTCCATGGCTCTAAATGTGCATGCCCATTCGTGCATTTGCCGAAGCCGCGACTCCCGCTCTTCTTTCGTTTCTATGGCTCTAAATATAGATGCCCTTTCGCGAAGATTGCCTATTATTCGCTCACCTTTTTTGATTTTTTTTTTTTAATAATATATGCTTTATTTGTTGGTATTTTTTTGAATTCAATCTTACAATTTTATTTATTTACGAAAGAAACAGTGACAAACAGAGTAAAAACTGACTGGGAAACAAATGAAAATGAGCAGAAAGAAGCCACACAAATGATGGGTGACCGCTTTGAGCAAATCGAGAAAACGAAACTTCATAGGATTATCCATCCAAATTCGATCCTAATTGGTTGAGCGGTTTCGGAGTCTATAGGGAACATATGCAGGGCATACTTCCATTTTTATATATGAATAATTTTTGTCCATGCAAGGGGGTCTTTCGCTTAAGCATTGTGATGATTTATTTCTTTTTTTATTATTTATTTTTGTTATTAAAATATCGCACGATTTTTAGAAGCACTTCATGATTTGTGTTTGCAAAAAATTCTATTTTTTTATAATTGCATTTAATTTTTTATATTATCTGCAAATGAAGCTATCGATATACACAAAAACACAATAAGAAACTTAAAAAGAAAAGTTAAGAGCACGTAAAAAATTAAGATTTAGCCAATTTTAAAAAGTTAAATGTTAAATTTAAAGTGTTTTGCTGCGTGATATAAGAGTGAGACCCGTACGAGTCCACCACATTTCCGCTCGTTATAGCATATTTTGTTTCCATCATTAAACAAAGTTAATTAATTTTTTATATGTGCGTTGCAGCAAAATATAGACCTGAATGGCATGTCGATATTTTTCAAAATTTCCATCAGGCAGACGTAACCCAAAATAAACTTTTGGGGAATTCATTAAATTCCCCATCGGCTGCAATACAACGGCTGGGTTCTTGCACAGAAAATTAATGTTCACCTGGGACATTTTAATAACCGCGTACTCTGTTTTGAAAAGAGCTTTAAATTCACCTCTTGATTTGTAATACTCTAGTATTATCACTTTTGATTGTTCGCGGGCATCGAAAATCAATTCTTTCTGCCTGGCCGACAAATGAGACCCATCCTCTAGGGTTAAACTAACCAGCAATTCCAAGGCAAGCTCAAAGGTTATTATGCGAATGCGTCCAGCTACAATGTTTAACAATCCCAGATCAGTTAAATAATCCACGTTAAAATTTAATTTCATACCTAACCGAACAGCTTGGGAGATCACTTTAAGCAGATGATTAATTAACACTGTTTTGTAGCCGAAATAGTCGTCTACAAATTTTGGAAAGTACTTCTTTATGCCTTTAAAGAACGAAAAAAAAAAAACATTTAAAATACTTCATTAAAATAAGTCTAGAAAGTTTGTTCATGTGATCTCTGCATTTAAATTTCAATAAGTGTAGTAGAAATATTCTTATTATAAAAACAAATAAAAATTCTTATTAGTCATCAATTTAAACCGATATAGATGGAATACAAAAAAAGTTCAGAACATCAAAAAATCCGATCCCCTCACCAGTTTTACAAATAAGTATGCGAATTTGTTATATAATGATACTCTGTACCTAAAGGATACTAGATTGAGGATGACAGACCGCACAAAAATTGAGATGATGATATATAGGGATGATTCGACATAGACGAGCTTTATCGAAAGCAAGCGCCTGAAAATTATAACATTATACCAATACTACACCGATTTTTCTATTCTACTTTCTACCTATACCAAACCTATAATGTCATATTTCTAATTTTTAAATAACAATGATGGATCTTATGATCTAACTTTGTAGAAATCTCACTTAACTAACTTAATTTTAGGCCAAGTTTTGTTTGCTTTTAATGTGCTTACCTCTATTTGTGTGCATGGTGAAAAGAAGACACAAAGCTGGCATAGCTTTATGATCATTTTGGCTACATTCCAAGGACCTTAAAATAAAGTCTAGAAATGGCTTAGAAACTGTGGTCGTATTCGTAGCTTTCAGAGTTGTTTTTGATGCCTCGGCAGACACTTCTTCAATGAAACAATTCAACTCCGTCTCCAAACTTTCGTGATTGCCATTCAGTATGACCCAAGCAAGGCCCTGTACTAACGGCGCATGCGCAGAGATAAGAAATACGAGTGACAGAAAGTACATGGCAGTTATGGAGCTCATTGTAGAATTGTGAAAATTCTGATAGTTCGTACTGTTCAGCTGAGGTGGCGATGGATCCAGCGAGAGCACGACAAAGGTAATGAAGAGCTTGTGCAAAAAATGTTTAGTAAGCTTGACTTTCAGATCTCCGATATCCAGGAGCAAAATATCATTGATGTAATCCAAATGATCGAAATGCTCAGCTAACAAATTTAACAACGTATGAGCCGCTTCGTGGCTGGGAGAATAATTGGACCAATCGCCGTGTTAAAATATATGTACAAGTATAATTATATATTTATTTCTTAAATGGATTGCATTTACTCACCCTGTATCGGTGTTTAGATACTTGTCCACGTCCATCATCTGCTTTCCGATGTGCCACACTAAATTGTAAAAATTTGCGAATGCAGCTCTGTAAAAATATTTACAGTTTGGGGTTAAGCAAACCATCTTATCTATAGGAATAATTTACAGGGACACCTACTTATCTCCGATAAAACGCAACATGCTGGCGTCCGAGAATTTGTACACATTAAGCGAAATGGTACGCACGGCTGTTCGTACCTCTGATTCGGAATGATAGAGGAATCGCATGGCTTCCGTATAGAGTGGGAAATCATAGATGAGCTGTTAAAAAATATCTTGGCATCACTGTTCAATAAAGCTTAAAATAATAACGGTATTTATTCGCTGGTGAGAAAATTAATATTTAGTTTTTGTGGCCGCAAACAAATTTATTAATTCCGACAGGTCGATATTTCAATCACCAATAACTCTATAATAATATAGTAGACAAGCATCTGATCATGATGATTTGGTTAAACTAAGACCACTTAACTTTTCGTTTAAGATTAAAATGTTGCTTAAACTTTAAAACACCTTTAGACGAGGTAAGAAACTGGGTAGAGAAAGTATGACTGTATCTCACAAAGTTGGGAAATCATATATTAAAATACATAAGTATTTCATTTTTTATGTTGACAACTTTTTCGATAAACAAAATTCATTCGTAAAATATTAAATTTGCATTAAAACAACACTCCGGTGAACACATCTTTAATATCTAAAGAAATAACTAATAACAGGCTTTAAAATACTATATATATTTCTTGCGGAATCGATGCAACTTATTTAAAATCTCAACTTATCTCAATCTCAATTTTTACACCCCCCATTCAGTCTATCAAAAGCTCAAAAAAAAAAAACTGTGATATTAATGTTGTTTACTCAAACCACAGCCTAATAATTTCGCCACTAGATGGACTGCCGTTCAATCCGATAAAGCAGCTGTCAAACTATTAATAAGTTAATATTAACCCGAAACTCAAGTACCGTTTAGCAGCTCTGTTTAAAGTTATAAAAAGTTTGAATATTAAGCTCTAATTCGCAACAAGGGATATTGCAAACAAGACCTTAGGGCTTTAAATATGAACCAGATGATGGGTAGCTGAGCCATGATTCAATTACAAGAAATATGAAGCACCTTTCTTTAAGATCAGAAATTTACGACGCAATGCACGCAACCCACCTCATTGTAGAAGAACTGAATGGTTTGATTGTTGATCCGAAAGCTCAGCATCCGTAAAAAGTTAACATAGTATAAGATGGCGTCTTCATCAGAGAAATTGTATTCCAGCCTTATAATAACGTTTACTTCGGACAATAGATGAGCTATAGGAAATTAAATATTATAAATAGCTCAGAGGAATCATGTTCAAGCATATACCTAAGAAGGCCTCCTTGCGTATGTTATAGCACAGTGTACTGAACGTTTGGAGGAACTTTACGGATACCGAATTCCAACTTTGATTTCGGTTCTTCTGCCGCATAAGGTGTATCCAATTGTTCAACATACGGCTCTTCACGAAGTAGCTTTAATATACGCACAAAGAAAACATTTATAAGCCCTTATTTATAAAGTACTTACTCAATAAGCTGTGAGTCACTCCTATCGCCCAAAAGTAACAAATAAGCAGTTAAATGTAAAGATTCGACGAGCAATGTGGCATTTTTTTCCGACACAATTGTATTATTTTTTAAGATGTTATGCTGCAGTTTCAAATCCTCCAAAGGAGTGCTATCGCTCCTTAAAATGACGCTGCTGCAACTACGATCCATAATGAAAGGTGTTTGATGACCAACTGATCGGTCGATGAGGGCACTATATGCCTTTAACAACTAATCAGCCCACAAAAACCGCCCAAAAAACCGCAATTTAAAAGAGGGAATTTAGCTTTTAAACTTTTTTATATTTCCTCTGCAAGCTTTTGTAACTTTTACGTTTCTAATATAAATTTAAATGGTCATTAAATAATTTGAAACTAACAATTTCCTCTTTATTTCGTATGACTTCGAAATTGTAAATCTATCATTGCATATTTGTTATCAGACTTGGAGAATACGGGTGACATAAGTCTGAACAATACTGAAGTGTGTAAGTTTTTATGAAATATTATTATGAAATAGAAACATGGGACCCAACTATTCCATCGAAGTGTTGATCAAAAATGTGTATATCTATCTATACTAATATTATAAAGAGGAAAGATTTAATTGTTTGTTTGCTTGAATTGAAAAGGCTCCGAATCTACTGGACCGATTTAATGGATTCTTTCATGGGCTATATGATATTTGCTAAAAAGAATGGAATCCTTACTAAAACGCCAATAATATAAACAAATTACCTTAAAAAACTCCTGATTAGCATGAAATCATCCTCGAAACATTGTCACTTTAAATATTAAGGAAATATTATTATGTTGACCTATCACGGGTCGGAGCTTCTGAAAATCAATTTATTTTGCTACCACAAAATAAAACATCAAATATCTTTTACAGAGAACATCTGACCCAATAAAGAATAACAAAAAAATCGAAAAAAGAACAAAAAATCATTGAAATAATATCCCAAATAAATTTTACTCCTTCTTGGTAACTCATAGCAAAAAGAAGGGTGTATGTGTGTGTGTGTTATAAAATGTATGATTTATAAAAACTGTTGTAAAAATACCCGTGCTAAGCAGGGGCAGGACGCTTGTCGTATATAAATATAAAAGAAACAAGAATATGTATTTTAAATTAAATAACAATTTATTTTTAACGTGCTGCGCATATCTTCATTATAACTACATATAGTACGTCCTATTATAATAAACATCTAACGTAACTGATCGGAGCGTTAAAAAAAACGAAATTTCTAAAGGACTAATGCTTATGCTAAACCGTTTCAATAGCGCCTTTGCGCCTACTCTCACCATCCGTATCATTGCCAATAAAAGAGGTCTCCTCGGAGCTCTGAACAGGCAGTACTTCTTTGGCAATGGCCACGCCATTCATTTGGCTTAGTAGAGCATTCGTGCCCACTAACAGGGTCGGCTCACGTGGTGATGCATTGTGCACGGATAATTGATCGTAGTGCAGAATGCGGGAGGGCGTATGCGAACGGGAGGATGCATTGGAATTGCCGCCGGCGCCACGACCATGTGGGCTGCTATTGCGCGAATGCTGGAAGTCCTCTAGAGGTATTTCCTCGGAACTATAAACAAATCAGACAAATATAAATTAATGAGATTCTGTTTGTTCGCGCGACATCGAAATTATATTATTACCGTGGTCGCGGCATACGTGGACTGCTCTCCCTTGAACGCGCACCTCCACTACGTGCTTGCGAATTCTCGCGAGAATGGGCTGAGCTTTTACTGCCGCCGCTGCCATTGGGCGAGTGCTCGCGACCGGAAGCCATATGATCGGTGGCACGTGATGTGTTCGAGGAATTGGAGCTAGTGTTCGAGTTGCGACGACGGGAGCGAGCGGCGTTTTCATTGCGTATGCTGAAAAGATATGCCAAGTTTGAAAAACTACACAAAACGCCAGATGACAAAGGCCAACACAACTTTAACTAAAAGGTCTTGATGTAGAAATATAGCTCCACTCATAAACTGAATAGCTCTAGATATGAACATAAGAAAATATCTAAAGATACATTGGATATCATTATGTGAAAGCAATATAGAAAAAATCCACTTTAATTCAAATAAAATCCGCATTCGAAAACGAAAACAGGACGCAACAAATTTACAAATAATTTGCATGCTATTAATTTCGAGTTCAAAATAAAATTTTAAAATATAAATAAATTCCACCAACTATTTGAAAATGATTTTCTGCAAGTATATGGTTGTTCATCAGTTCTCTCTAAAGTCAAACAAGCAAAGAACATAATATTGAGAATTTATTGTTCAACGTACTACACAATTACAGTAAACGCTACAATTAAAAATTGAAAGAATAAAGAGGATGCAAAAATATATATGTATTGTGTTCAAAATATAATCTCGTTCGAAACATTTATTAATTTAACTAGCAATTTAAACATACATCGGTTTGAAAACATCAATTCCACACCGGTTCGTAACTCTAGTTTGAATACTGCACCCCACTTACCCCTCAATGGATCGATTCTGTGCCATTTGTATGCGACTTATGCCAGCACTAGCGCCATTATCCCGACGCAGTGCAGCTGCAAAGCCAGGCACGCGATTCGCCGTCGAAAACATCGGTCGATGTTCCCGAGTGTTGCGGGAACTCGAGCCACTGCTGCTGCCGGCTGCAGCTGCGGCCGCACGCAGGCCACCCACTGCATACACCGGCGAATCCACCACTTGACCCGGCATCTCAATCAACTGTGCGATCTGATACATTTTCTTTTGGCGCGCCTTGCTGCGTCCTTTAGTCAGACGCTGCTTGGCGGCCATGCAGCGTATGTGATCGTCGAAGAGAAATTTGGCAGAGAGCAGTGGCGTCCGGTTGTGTGTCGCGCCACCTCGATGCACCGTTATGTGGAGGCAGCGGGAGTCGTCCTTGTCCCCCTGCACCTCAACATCTTGTAGGAAGCCCACAAATTTGGCCACGCCCCAACCCAACAACTTGGCATCCGGCTCCACGAGTATTAGCTGCAGAGCATCGATTACCAAAAATCGGCGCTGCTTTGCATTATCCTTCGCCACCACGGTGCAGGCAATCAAATCGCTGTTATCTATAAATAAAAAGATAAGTGTAATTTTTCAATAAATATAGAACTATTTTACCTCTGCCCCTAACTTTGCGTTTCTATCCCAAACAAAAATAAGTAGATTAGAACAGAAGTAGAGTAGAATTCTATCTGATTCTATTAAAGATAATAAATATCAGTGATATTTGGCCAACCGAAGCGCTTGCTGATTACCCAGCATTTAAATTACATTCATAATAGAAGAAGCTTTTGAAATAACACTCTAGGGAGAACATTCTGTAGAAAAAATTTACATCCTTATTTAAAATCTATCTCAACATAATTATCAATTTAAAACTACAAGCCTTGTAATGTTTGTTTTCCTGCTGTACTATCTACTTCATCTTTTTTAGTTAAGCGCCCACATCACTGGCTACCTGCGACTATAAATAAGACGGTCCGTTTAAACCCCAACCGTGTCAGATAAGTCGTAGTTACTATGCAGCTTTTAGGCAATTACTTTATAAAATTATATTTACCTATATTGTAATATCTCAGATATTTAAACACAAATATCGTCGTCTAATAAATGCTTTAAACGTAGTAAAAGCACAGCTACTAAAATAATATATGAAGGAAATACTAAATTTTCTCCTTTATAATGTTTTACCCATTGCTTGACATTTCCTAATCCTAATTACTACTCACTTAAGTCCAGAACATTCTCCACTTGCACCAGATTGACAACATGCGTTAGCGGCAGCAAGGATTCCTTTTCGCTTAAGAACTTTTGGCACGTTCGACGTAGAAGGAAAAATACGCGAATAGCACGTCGAGCTTTTTCCACCTCCCCACAGGGCAAACGGCGCGTGAAATTGATGCCCGTTAGAGGTGTGCCCGTAGGCGGTAGCAATATGGTCGAGTCCATGCATAGAAACTCGACATTTAATACAGCTTTGCGCAATTCTTGGTACTCGTCTTCGAACAGATCGAGAAATATATCCTCGGACTTATAGAAATTGCGTAACACAGCCATTGATTGGTTTCGAGCATTAAAAAGCACATCCTGCTGCAAGGATGTGATGCTACGCGTCTCATCTGAAGCCGGCTTAGTGAAGGTGACCAGCAGCTCCAAAGCGATTTCAATGGTAATTAGGCGAATACGGCAGGCTACAAATTTAAAAGAGTTTTACTTTTATAGTGCTGTATCTAGGAAGATAGTTTTGTAACTTACATGACTGACTGGACTGCGTGATAATTTCTAGCAACTGTTCAATAAGTGCCGTTTTATAGCTAAATGAGCCACGCATTGATTTCGAGAGCACCTGATCGAACCACTCGTTCTTGATGCCTGTACATAAAAAAATAGAATTTTCAGCTATTTGACTTTTAAATGTACACAGAAGTCAGCTATAGTGAGCATAAAATGATTACATAAAATGGACATATGTATTACATACCATCTGGAACACGTGCCACAATATTAATGCAATTTTTTTACAATCACACACAAAAAGCATAGAAATGAGCAGAACGAGCGCAAAGAGAGAGCAGGTGAAAGTTACGGTTAGCATAGAATTCTGTGCCGTTTGTTAATTGCAAATGTTTGGACGATATGTCGACCGGATAAAGGAAACTTACCACGATTATGGGACATGGCGTAGATGAGGCACAGCGCCAACAATGCTTGATAATCATTCTCCGTGCAGTCCAATGCATGCAGAACCGTGTCTAGAAATGGCTTGGCCAATTCTAGATGCGATTGTGCCGACGTCGATTGTTGAAGCTGCTGCTTCTCCTCGTCGGTTATGTTGCGCAGCCGCAAAGCCTCAGATTCCGCATCAGTTTCCGTATCAGTACTTGTTGTTGTCACTTCAGTGGCTGCTGCCGATTCGACGCCACTATCCTCGCTTACTGCATAGCCTGAAACATGTCCAACCACCGTATCCAAAGCTTGTTCCAGACTCTCATTAGGTTCGCCAAATCCAGGCACAACAACCTCGCGATGCTCAACATAGGCATTCAGTATTTCAGCAGCCCCTTCTTTAAATACACTGTGATCTCCATTGAGTATAACCCAGGCAAGAGCATGAACAAGGGGCGCATGCGTAACAACCAAAAACACCAATGATAACAAATACAGCGCTACAATGGAGCTCACTCGAGGATTATGCATCTCTTGTATATCAATATCCACATTCCGATTTAGGACTGCCGCCAAATTTTGTGTTACCACGGCTAGTGAGCGTGTCGGAGGGGCTGGCGTCAGCGAAAATATGTACAGGGGCACAAACAGTTTGTGCAGCAAATGTTCCGTTAGGACTGCATTTAAATCCGTTATATCCAACAACAAAATATCGTTCAGGTAGTGCAAATGGTCCAGGTGTTCGGCCACCAAATTAGATAGCTTCTGATTCGATTGGTGGCTGTAGAAAACAATAATTGTATTATGTGTGAAATAAATGTAAAGCTCTACAATATAACTCACTCTATATCTGTACGCACGCAGTTGTCTAACTCTAATATGTGCTTCCCAATAAACCACACCAAATTGCTAAAATACGGCGCTGCAGTTCTGGAAAGTGAACGATTTTTTTAAAAAGCCTTTCTAATTAATTGGCATACTAACTTGTCTCTAATAAAACGCAGCATGCTCGAATTCTGAACTTTGTACACATTCAGCGAAATAGTACGCACTGCGATGCGCACCATGGACTCTGGGTGATTAAAGAACTTAATTGCCTCCGTGTAGAGTGGGAAATCGTTCGTGTGCTACAAAAATACAAATCAGCATGTTTTTCGATACGATTTTAAAGTAAGCACCATTACCTCATTGTAGAAAAAGTGTATAGTATGGGTATTCAGCTTTAAACTTAATGTCTTCAGAAATAGAATGTAATAACCCATAACATCTTCGTCGGAGAAATCGAACTTGTGTACAATAATGGAGTTGACATGATTATTGCTTAATAAATAATCTGCAAAGCAAATAATTATTTAAATCGAAGATACAAATTTCACGCAGATAACAACATACACAAAGACGTCTCATTGCGTATGTTCTCGAAGAGAATGTTGAGTGTTTGCAGCAGCTGAACACATACAAAACTGGAACCACCGCTCTTTTGGCGCATTATGTGCAGAAAGTAGGACAGCATATTCTTTTCCAAGAAGAAGCTGTAAAGGAAAACAATAGTAACTGCTTGAAGGTACTCCAAATCCATTAATCCACTTACTCAAACACCAACGAATCATGCTGATCGCCCCAAATCAGAATTTCCGCTATACATCGCAACGACTCCACTAGCAAGCCACGATTGCTTTCAGACACGGTTGTGTTCTTCTCTAAAATGCTATACAGGTACTTGAGGTGCTCTAGCGAAAGACGATTCTTGGGACGGTTCCAAGGCCCGCCGAACCAACTTCGACTGCGGAACATGTCGAGATTTGTTGATGACGTTGGCGGAAGTCGCGTGCTTTCACAAACTCAGCTAACTTCGCTTGCTGCCAACAATAGCATTATAGCTATATACAGAACAAGTGAATCAGGCTGAACACTGGAAGAGTCACGCGTGGGAATTTTCTATGCTGTTTGTTCTACTGACATTCTGTTAGTGCAGCACGGTATTCTCTCCCTCTTGCACCCACAGTGCAGTGCGGCAAGCTTCAATTGTTCTTAATTAAACGAACAAATTTTGTTAGTTTGCAACAAAAAAAAAAATAAATTACGTTTTTTCTATCCCCAGTAATTTGCTCTGCTTCTTTCTTTTTAATACGACAAGTGTCGTCTATCGTCAGCTGTCTGCAAACAGCTGTTGCTGATATCGTCATCGTTCATCGTTGCGGGCTCGCATGCGAAGAAATAAACATAAATAGTCCCCGCTCTATGTTAAAAGTATCTAGGAAACGGCTTTATTTTATGCACAAGGGCGCCAGTTTTTTAAATTATTAATCTATTGATTGAAATTAATGGAATAGGAGCCGCTGTTTGGATCCTGCTTCATTTGAAAGTTCGTAGTTGACAGGCCAAATGGTTTCAGTATCATATTTCCCAAATCCTTAAGGCTAGACATCATTTCTGTTTTTAGTTTCTCATTGCGTGCGTTAATGATAGGCGGTAAGCGTATTTGCGCCTCTCGAGCATCCGGCTGGCCAGGATCAATTTCATATACCCGTTTGTAGTCCTCCAACGCCTCATCGGGTCTCTCTTCTTGTTCGTATAACTTTGCGCGTCTAAAAATCACGTGCATATATTTAGATTTTATAGTTTTATTAAAAGTAACAAATCGCACTCACCTCAACAGAGCTCTCACGTATTCCGGCCACAGTTCTATAGCTTTGCAGCAATCGCTTATAGCAGATTTTCTAGCCTCTAGCTTGATCTTGGCTGCGGCGCGATTACCGTAGAGCACAGCACGCTCTTTACTACTGTCGGCAGGACAAATATTCAGAGCTTCTGTGTAGATCTTAATAGCACGTTCTGGATCATCATTCTTGAACAGCTCATTGCCCTCAAGTTTTAGCTGGTTGGCTTTTTCTTTGTTTTGTTCTACTTCTTCCGACGTCCAATCTTTCTGCAGTTCGCGTAACTCTTCGATGCTTAGTTCAACGTCGATTGGAGACTCTGTTTTTTTGTCCGACGAATCAGTTTCGTTATTTTCACCATCGCCGCTGCCACCTGCAGCACCCAGTTCGTCATCTGCTTCAATTTTAACAGCGTCATCATTCAGTTTCAGATTGCTCTGTTTCTCCACAATTTCCTCAATAATTTGTTCGTTCAACGTTGACGTCTTTGTGACCGAAGCCAAGGGTGGTTCACTCAGTGCATCCTGGAACTCGTCATCGCTGTGGTTTTTACCCTGCGCCTGCGACATGTTAGTGCTCGCTCTTTTGTTCTACTCAAAATTTTGTTTAACAATGAAATGCGTGCTCGATTGCTAAGGCGATTTGCCATTCACAGGCAGACGCTACCAGCTCCGATAACTTCCGCAAGTTGATTTCGATACTTAGAGAACAAGGTGGCGGGTTTTGTAAGATATTAATAATGGTATCTGTTAAATCTCTACAAAATTTGAATATTAAGGACTATATATCGGAAACATATGATCGCGCCAAGCCAGCGCAATGCAATCTGGAGTTGGTTTATGCGACAGGCTCGAAGGTGAACAATTTTAATAACTTGAAACAAAATTCTAACAAATATTCATTTGCAGACACCCGTCAATCAGTCGAAACCATGCGGTCAATTAAAATGTGAATCTCTGAAGTTTCCGTTTGCAAGGAATGGCGCTTTACCCACATCAGTCCCCATCAAGAAAGCTGATGTGCTTGTAGTTGCTGATGTAACGACACAGACAAAACGTGTCGTTGAACTCACATTGGACTTATCAGTCCTAGACTATGATTTTGATTACGCACCGGGCGATACGATTGCAATACTGCCCAGCAATGCTGATGAAGTGGTACAAAAACTGCTACAGCGCTTGGATTTGCACGAGCAGGCCGAAACTATTTGCAGTTTTAAGCTGGTTCAGAATGCAAAGAAGACCGCCAAAGTGCCTGCTCATATTCCACCGGAAACTACGCCACGAGAACTGTTTACTCATTGCCTACAGCTAAACGGTGTCTTACAGAAGCAGTTTCTCAGCGCCTTAGCATTCTGCACCTTTGACCCCGACCAGCGTGAATTTCTCTACAGTCTCTCGTCCAAGCAGGGTAGTGCGTACTACAATGAACTCATATTGGAAAAAGGGCTTTGCTTGATAGACATCCTGGAAATCTGTCACACATGTGAACCACCGCTCGAATTACTTGTGGAATATCTGCCGCGCCTGCTGCCGCGTCCGTATTCTATAGCTAACAGCCCAATGGAGTCTGAGAATGATATTCGCATCATTTACTCTGTGTTATCTGAAAGAGTGGGCGTAACAACCCATATGCTGGAGAAGAAAATTCAACAGGACCAAGCGGCGGCTGCCAAGCTCATAATTTATCCACGTCTCATCAATGCATTCCGATATACTGCCGATGATATGAGCAGCAATCAAATACTCATAGCGGTTGGTACTGGGTTGGCACCATTTCTGGGCTTTTTAGCGCATAAGCAACGCTGCTGCCATCAAGGAAGTCCGTCTCGATCCATTGGTCAGACTTGGCTTTATTTAGGCGCCAAGACACCAGAAGCCGTGCTCAAACTTAATGATTTGCAGGAATGGCAGAACTCTGACATAGTTCAACGTTTACGGCTATGTTTCTCACGTGTCTCTGAATTATCCGAAGAAGCACCCAAATATGTGCAGGAGCTATTGAAGAAGGATGCAGCAGAGCTCATTGAGCTTTTACAGCATCCGGCAACCGTCCTTTATGTGTGTGCCGATGGCGCTAAAATATCAAAGGCTATACAAGATGGCATAAAACAGTGCTTGATAAGCACTCTAAATTTGGACGAGGAAGCAGCTATGAAGCAAGTTCAAGATATGCGTAAGGCAGGCAAATACCGCGAGGATACCTGGCTATGAATATACGACGATTCTCTCTATATATAACTATTTTGTGCAATGTAGACAATTTTGTAATATACTCTTTAAATATAAATAATAATGATAATTAAAAAATAATAAATATAGGACTCTGATTATAATTATTCCTTCAATCGTCCCCACAAAACTGAATTGAAAAATGTATTCCTCAAATTTACTCTTTAAGAGGAGAAATTAATGACCAAATGAACAGGACTTCCGTAAAATGTTTACCACCAGTACGAGAAGTGTAAAAAATATACCAATTGGCATAATTTAAACTATATTTGGATGATCTACAAACCTTCTCGAAATACTATTGTTCTGGAATGAAGAACGTAGATAGAAAGAATATTGTTTTGGTCGAATAAGTAAATAACGATATATTTAACAACACAAAATAAAAAAATGACAGTGCCAGCTAAAATAATACATACAAGTGCATGGTGTGTGATAAAATTTATGGTTTTGCGCTTGCACAACTAAATGTAAATACATTATTAAACGTTGATAGTGTATTACGCAAAAGTAAATTTAAGAAATAATAATTATAGTAATATAATACAATTACGACTTAGCTTTCGGGTTTGCAAATAAAATGCATTAAAACTACATATACATATATATGCTGTAAATATAAACTAAAACGATATACGAAAAATGTTTTAAAACCCATTTTGTTTTCGATTTTGTAATATTTTTTGTTTCATAAATCGTTATCTTCGTTTAATATGCCATATTTTTTATAATTACTTGCAAGTTTTTCTCACATATTTTAACTACATTAATTGAAATAGCGCTAATTCATGTATATTTTCTTGCTTTTAATTACAATTACAATGCATTTGCTTTAAAAAGTCAATGTCAGTTATGTTTCTGGATTTGGTTACTATTTTTAATTTTACAGTTCCCATAAAAGTTGATGTATCAAAAATGTACACTACCATTTGAAGACTTGGTTTTCGTTAGTTGTAGCTTTTATTATATATATATATCTATGTATATATTTGTTTGCACTTTTAGCATTAGTTGTAAAATTTTAAATGCGCATACGATTATGTTAGATTGGGTATGTCTTCGTTACTAATGCTCGTTGCTGGCCATTCGTTGCCTAATTCATTCACCTGCCTTGCTATTCATATGTTCGCAAAATTACTTTAATGGATTTATCATCTTTCTCTATTTTAAGCTAAATAAAATCAAGTAAATTTTCAATTAAACATTAAGCTCTAAATTATGCATTACAATTTCGTTTTTACAGGGCACTTTGAAATGTTATTTTAATACTTATATTTGCGTTAAAAAGAACGAATATAAACATTTTAACTAAGCTTCGCAGGCTACTCTATTTGACTGCTTTGCTTTGGGGAAACAAGCATAATAAAGAGCGTTTCTTGTTGCTAAAAACTACTGCACAAAATTTGTATATTCATTAATATTTTTACTAAAGGAATCGCTTGCCACGAGCCAAAGGCCAATAAAAACACCTTGCGATTTATATGAAAAACATGGGAATTATGTGGATAAGCTTCAAGAGTTCCGAAACGTGGCAAAACACTCTCTTCCAATTTTAGGAAAATGTCCCCAATTTGGTTATAAAAGTTTTGGGATCAGTAATCAAAATGTAGGTAAAAAAAAAACAAAAGGAAAGAATTTCCAAAATTTTAGATGAAGGTTTTTATGTTTTCAGAAAGATTGTGATAAAGTTTCGTGTAATGGAAAATATTAATTTTGGCTTTTGGTAATGTGTGTACCCGAAACTAAATAATTGAAATCTTTTGTGAATTCCGGACATTGAAACTTCAGAGTACCATTTTTCTTTGAGTAGCTGGAGATGTAGTTTTAACTGTAATTTCTTCATAGTTTAGTTTTGATATGTTACTAAATGTTTTGATTCCATTAGTTTTAAATATACACAAAGCCATTATATTGGTTTCATGCCCATTTTAAAAAAATGTGGCGATCAAGAATAATTAAGCGGACAAAACATACATTTAAAAATCAATAATATAAAGTTAATATAACTGGAACAAGGCCGCACAACTGCTTATCCCGCACCCTGGTGACTACTTTTCTTTCAGCCTTTTTCTTATGCTTCTAAATTTATAGGTCTGTTTTTCCGGTATTTATTGATCTCCCATTCAAGAGTTTTTTGTTTTGACATTGCTCGATATTTTCGTTGGGACTCGGCTTGTGTTTACTTTTCTACATTTGCATACATAGGCACTATATGTATGTGCGCGTAATCAGTACTACATCTGGATTTCTGTTAGTCACGCTTCGATGACTCACTCGCTGACATATTTTCAAACTATAATATTGGACACTACCGTCTGACCATTATCAAGGAATTACTAAAATTGTTGCAGCAGCAAATTAAATTGCACTTTTAAATTTATAGTTTCCTTTCTCTCAGCAAGTGTCATCAACACAATGACAAACCGGTATGAGATAACGGTTTAAGCTGCGCGACAACAACAACGATAACGACAAATAATTGTACTCATGTGATTATTGTCGTAATTGTTGTTGTTTCTCAGGTCGTTTGCATACCGCTATTTTTTTTTTCATTTTCTTGTAATGCATAGTGTTGTGATCATGAGAGATTTACTTAAATAAACGTTTACTTTTGGCATATACTGTGATTTGTTTCGGAATTGCATTTCATTTGACACACACATTACCGTTATAACAGCGTGCTGGTCGTACATTTTATGGCAAAATTTTGGGCAATGCACTCTACAATAATTATCCTCTCCTCTTCTCTTTAGTTGTAAGTAGTTAACGGGTATTTTGTTTCGATTCAAATTTTAGTTTAGTCTTATGTTTGTACTAATTTAATGGAATTGAATTATTTTTGACCACATTTGTTAAATTGTGCGCGTAGCTAATTGCAAGACGTATTGTAAATACATATGTATGTATGTATGTGGGTTTGAATGTTTGTTTTTTATTTTAGTTGTGGAAAATATTTGAACTTGTATACTGTTTTTATTTTGATAATAGTATTTAGTTTTTGTGGGTGTTTTTGCGTTGCTGTTTATTAGACCTAATGGCACTTTTAACATAGTATACTTTTTCTATTAATTTGTTTCCTCACTCCCACTTGCTATACTGCATTTACCGTTTTCTTTTTAAAATTTTATTTGTTTTTGTTTTTTGGTAATTTACAACAAATATTGCATGTTTGCTTAGTTTACGACGAATTTTATGTAGAATTGCATAATGCAGCTTTGATAAAATCGCTTAAATCACATTTATGTATATTTATATATGTATGTATGTATATAAGTATGTTATATATTATTATATATAAAACTTGTATCCAACTTATGTATATCCAAGTATTATAAATACAATATTTATATAATGTACGTGTGCGTGTGTCTGTTTGTATGTGTGTGTGTGTGTGTGTGTGTGTGTGTGAAGTCTAATTTAGCACACATTCCTTTCTTAAAAATTTCTCAACTACATAATCGTATAGTATGAATGTATTTTTATTTATTTATGTATATACTATGTATGTATGTATTTATGTACTCGTATGTATGTATATGCACTACATAGCAATTGGCCAAGTAAAACATTTAATAATAAACATAAACAGAATACATAATAAAAGCAAAGAAGGCAACTAATTCCCTCTTATCTTTCCACACTTTAAAACCTATGCACGCATACATATACAGTAGTATACAGATACAAATGCTAAATAAACTGCGTCATCTTTCCCACACAATCAAAAAGGAAGATAAACAGTATAATGTAACGGTAGCAAAAACGCTACAGCTACAAAAGAAATGCTAATAAATACACTACGCTTAAAATATCAATGCTTTCTTGTGCGTTCGGCGTACGACGTTCATGCGCTTTTGGCAGGCACTGTGGCTGAGTAGACAGGGAAATGGAGCGCTGCGGTCCGGTGCGGTGTGGCGTGGCGTTGCGTGGGTGGCGACATTTGCGCCAATTGTATTCTTCCCATTGTTCCTCACGTTCGGCCACCTCATGCTGCATTAATAAAGTAAAAAGAAAGAGAGAAAAAAGAGAGATATTGTTAATACTGTATGGACATACTTTATTATACTATACGTTTGTATGTACGAGTAAGTGTTAGTAGCTTATCTTAAGATCAAATATGTACACATACATACATATGTGATAGATATACATATAAACATAAACATGCATATATGAATACAACTTCAGCTTTAAACGACCAGGAAGTAATTAATGGATTAGTTTTGTTTTATTGTGCCCAAATGAAATGGTAAATTTGTATTACCCGTAACCTAAGAGTAACTACACAACAACAAAAAATTTGAGTTACCAAATTAAGTCAATTTGGTTTAAAAATTTAGACCGACATACAAATATGCACACATAATATCTACATCGATTTGTATAGTACATAACTCTTTATGGAGTCGGGAGCGCTTCCCTCTGCCAGTTAAATACGATTCCGCAGACCTTCAAATATACCCTTTTACACATCGGTACACAGGCTATTATTAACATCAAACAAAGTATGTATGTACAAAAGCAGATCTAATACACTATGGAATGCTCAAGCATTGACTAATATTAAAATGATTTCCAATTTTATATCACCACATTTTGTGGGTTTCACGATTAGGTATTGGTCGACATCACGATCATTATGTAGGTCATAATGTATTCACAAGCAAAATGAGGTTTCTGCGCCGTTTGATCCGTTTTCAGATTTTTTAATATTAATTCTGTAGCATTTATTAAATAATATATATATTTATTTTCGTTTCGGGGCATATCTATTATGAGATGATATTTTACAGGCCTAATCATTTCAGTTTATTGGAATTTAAATTGAATATATATATGTACATATATAACTTTTTCGTACCCTGTGCGAAAAGGGATTTAGTTAAAACTAAAATTTTCAAATTCATTTGACACAAAATATATTTAAAATAGCTTAATACTGTGGTCTCTATCTGGCAAATGAAAATGTAAAGCAACAAAGAAATTGTGGCAGAAAGGATTTAGAGAGATAGGAAAATTTTACTACTCAAAAATGTCTAGCATTTTAAATATTTAGAAAATGTTACTTCTAAATACACAAGCCAATGATTATTATAAGACTTTATTCTCTTTTAAGCATACTTTCTACCAAATTCCGTAAAATTCAAATTCCTGCTACACTCTGCTCCATAATTTCATTTTGATAATGGAATAATCCTTTTTCTTATTCTGCCTGCCCAATATTCGGGATTATTCACTCGCTATTTTTTTTGCCGAAATTTCTAGTCTGCCCTACCACAATGAAAAATGTGTAAGAGTAGGTAAAAATTGAATTATCAATTTTGCAATTAATTAGTAATTTTTATTTGAACAATAGGGTATCCCAAAGCGAAACACACTTTTCCATGCACGATTATTCCAATTAGTGCGTACTTAACATTTTAACCTTTTTAATTAAGTGTGCTTTTTACATTTTTTGTTTAATTTATTGTCTTCATGCGGTTATCAAGCGTTTTCGGCGGCATCAGAGGCATGATCTGAGGTGTCGTTGAAAATAAGTAAGAAAAAATTGTCGCACTTGATTCGAAGTACAAACATACATACATATATACTATATAGAATGTTTACTTATAGGTATACATATATATTTTGAAAAGAGACAGACGCGTTCAATGTGCTTCCAAATGCATTAATCATTTGAGCCTTATCAACATTTGTGGAGCTTATCAGTGCTTTAGATATCGATTGCCGCCGCTCTGCGGCCTCTGTGGCCAAATGAAAAGAAGTGAGCGGTACAAGCAAGCTAATTTTAGATAGACATACTCATGTAATCATTGCAATAAGAGGGGAAGGCATGCACACTATCGTGTAATTACTTTAAGGTCAAGTTTTTTGATTTTGTGAAATGGTCGAAAAACACTCCACAATTAATTTAAAATTTCTGAATAAGTAATTGGGTTTATAACGGTTTTAAGTAATACTGAATTATATGGAAAACGAGTTGGCGTCAGTATAAAATTATACGTGTCTGCAAGCGATAGGCACCACCACTTAAGGAAATTGTCGATAAGGGATTTATTATCATCAACTTTCGGAACTGTCTCTCCAATATATTTGCTATTTTCGGAACAATTACGATACACAAGATTAATGCCAAATGAATTACCTGTAGGCAGGTACATAATGGACGTATGACGTATTTAAATTGAAAGAAAAGTACTTTGAAAAATTTGTTTCGTTTCCGTTTCGTAAAACTACATTAAGAATCCGGAATCCGAAGATTAATAAAAATGGTTTTCTCTTGTCTATAATTATATTTCAAATGCTATAAAAAAGCTTTCGTTTGAAGCATTTTATATGCTTTTTGTTCAGAGACGTGAGTACCACTAGTAAGTTGGATGGCTAACTATTACCTTTAAATTATATCCTAAAGCTAATGAAAGATTATCAAAAATCACTGTTTTTTTTGGCGTTTTATGTTGTTTCATATAATAATGATAAACTATGACCTTAAAGCCGGCATACATATGTAGCTACTAAATCAAGCTGTTTCAAAAATAATTTAATGAAGAGCTGATTACAAAGTTCATTATGACTTTTAAAAGGCGCCTGGGTGAAAACCCCATAAATTGTTTAGTCAAGCATTGTGTTGATAATTATTGTTGTGTAACAAATTCCCCTTACAATTATAGTTTAGCACAATTAAACATTATAATTTGTATCTACATTTTTAGTGAATTTATGCAATTGCTAAGTTACCACGAAGCCACCATGTTTTCGTTTTAACAATTTTGAGAATGAAGTTTAGTTTTATTTAAGCATGTTTCAAGAAAATATACTTAGCAGTTTATTCTTTGAAAAAAAAAAAAAGTTTTTCTGTTATAATTTTGTATACTGTTATACTATATTCAATTTTGAAGAAAGTAATGAATTAAAGACCTGAAACATGCGAGCAATGCTCTTAAATATTTGGAGAATAAATCCTGTGCTGTTATGGCGCACTCCGACTCTTGCAAGACCGCAGCCTCGAAAATCTTTAGGCTAATGTGAAAAAAGGGTTCTTTTCGAAAGGCAAGCAGGGAAATTTGGGTTGGTATGTTTTTTGTATTTAAGACGGCCTGGGGCTAGTTCTCCAGCTTGGTAGACTCAGTTAAGGCACCTTTTTATCAAAACGTTCAATAAAGTAAATATGTTCAAAAAATTCTGCCACTTAAGTTAGCAATTGGTTGTTTGTTTTAAATGATATAAACGTGTAGAAGTTGTAATTGGTTGTTTCGTTATAATGATACGTTAAGCAGTTGCCTGTTTTGCGGAAGATTAAACAGCAACCAAAGAGAGATTCTTATAATCGTGCAATTTAATCACCTCTGCTGTATATAATTCTCAATGCACGGGGTTCACTTTCATTTTTCTGGTATCGTATCGCACAATTCGTTGGAACTGATCAATATTTAGCAGAAACTATCTACACATACTTATATGTATGTATATATGCACATATATTATTGTATGGTACTACTATATATCGCACTTTTGGAGCGAACCCATGATTGCCATCTACAATGCCACAATTTATGGCCATGCAGATAAGCTGGGGCTAAACGTTTCTCTATTTATTTAAGCTGCATATGTACATACATACATGTATAAAAAATAATTTTTGCATAATTATTTGTGCTTTCATTGTCACCGTTTATCATTATTATCATTTGTTGTTGTTATTGTTGCTTCAAAGCGCAACAAGTTTTTTATTAGCACAGACATGCGGCAAATGAAATAACGAAAATAAAAAAATGAAAGCCAAACAAAATAGGTTTCTTGTGTCCATATATTAGTAGCGTATAGAGCGCGTCACTAGCGCACATTCAATTATCAGCGCTATAATTATTTATATTTATCAGCATGTGAAGCGGGCGCTTCACCCTCCCACAGTTGAGCTCAAAGCCTCGCAGTTGACGCAAAAGTCACGATTCCATTTTAATGAAACGTTGGCGATGTCGGCAACTATATGTATGTATGTACATACATACCCGTACATACAAACATATGTACATACATACTTACGATACAATGGTTGTATGGGTGGCGACATTGCTCGCTATGTGAATATATACTTTGAGTATGTATGTATGTATGTATGTATCTACATATAATAAAAACATTGCACTTGTTTTTCTACCAGTTTCAACGAACCAAACTGACACATTGTTAGCGCACTATTATATTCCACAAATTTTCCACACAGTTTTCCTATGTCAATGGAATATACAGTTATTACTGCTATTAGTGAATGAAATAGGCAGAGAGGGAGAGAGAGAGAGAGAGAGCGTGAGAGTAAGGGCTCATAGTTCTATACAAAGTACAACAAAAGGCCGTCAGATTTATAACTCAAACGATGCGGTTGCTCTCAACCGGCTGCGGCGCCACCACAGAAGGAAATAAGAAACGAATGCTTCATTGTATAACCCCAATTCATGGGTTCGAGCTGTATTGCCACACAAAGATGCACGACCAATCAAACTTGAATCGCAATGGCATGTGGAACGCATGTCTGTCAGTATGTATGTGGACTATGTTGGATGATGTGCAGCAGTCGAACAATGAAAATCCCATATATACATACATACATATCTAGATGAAGTTTCCAAGCCATTCACACACACACACACATTATGATGAGTGTACTAGCAGATCTGAAGTGCATGAAATGAAATGTATCTGCAAATACTTACATATGTAAGTACAATAAGTATTTACATATTTGCTATAATTTTTAAAATCTTTTTATGATTTCAAGTATACTTCTCACACTCAACTGTTTAGATTTCAATACAATGAAAACTTCTTAATTTTCTATCATTTTTCTTCCTACGACAGTAAGTAAAGCTTTTCAAAAATTGAAAACTTTCAAACTGTACGCAACTATTTAAAAAAAAAATTAAATAAGGGTATATTTTCAAAAACAGTAAACAAAAACATATCCATTACATGAAACTGTTTAAAAATAACGG